TAACCTTCGTCTTGTCTATGTTCACCTGCAGTCCTGTCTTTGCTGCTTCTTCGACCAACCAGTTTGTCGGTTTTCGCTTATAAGTCTTCGATTTTATGTGACATCAAACATAAATCATCCACGCGCGAAATCCAGGTCTTCTAGGTTCTTCACGTCGGTCCAGGATATCCCTCGCTGTCTTCTCGTTTCCCACTGTCTGACGCATAATCCAGTCGTGCACTGCAATTAGGAATATCATTGGTGATAATCAGCACCCTGGTCTGACTCCTGTGTTTCCTCCAGACGCCTCGCTGAGTTTTCCGTTGTGGATCACTTGACATGTTCCGTTGTCGTACAGCTGTTGAATAAGGTTGATGATGATGATGAATCACGTAATTTAAGAAAAACTCTTCTACATGTAATAAAGTTAGTGTCAGGAAATAGTTATATGGGGTAAATTTCTCGTATATATCCCAAAAAATCCTCTCAATTCCTTGTCGGAGCCTTCAGGGATAGTCCAAGCGCCTATTTCTGTACATAAACTCATCTTGATAACTGTATATCATACTGTTTCGTGATCCATTCACTGCTGTACAACACTCATGAACCTATCAAAGGAACCATATATCTTCTCGGACAGATTTTCTGTAACGACACGCTGGACATCTGTACACATATCCATCAACAGTTGCTGCACATCCCTGTAAAGTCATTACTCCTCCAAATCTAAAATCTTCCCATCAGTCTGTTATCCCGACTGGAATTTGCAACATAATTTGTGTATGGCATCGAAAATTCTACCTATGCTCTACGGATTCATCTAACTGCTTGCTCAAAGTCATCACTTCCGTTTAGAATTACTGTCTCAAGTTTCACTTCAACCAGAAATCTACACAATGAAAGTTTCATAGCATTAGTTACATCATTTGTCATAAGGATAATACACTTTTATTATTGAATATTTCATTTTAGATAAATTCACTTCAATTTGAAATAAATACATAATAGCTTTCAAGGTTATTCAATGTTCAATAGACATAGGATACTTGACTAGACTAATTTTCTAATGAGTTCTACTCTTTTCTTTTACTTGATAGACGATTAAATTCGCCATTTTTTTGGTTATTTTTTTCAGTTTCAAACTGACAGATTTAAACTTCCTTTCTTTTTTAAGAAAAAATTATCAACAGATTCACAAGTCGTTATCAGTCAGTCAGGTTTAATTAAATTGAGTTGAACTTGTCTGTAGCCATTAGTTGTATAGATTGATGGATTAGCGTTAAAATGACAGGCCAATAGTGTGATATTGATCTGTCACAGTGAATTTTTTTATTCCTTTACATTCTCAGTGGAACATAGGACGGCTTCAAGCTAGGGGCTTGAATTTTCCGTAGCAGTGGTGTTTATTTATTTTTACGGGATTGCGTTGCTAGACCGATGTCCAACCCTACCTCTTTACCAGTTGTCAAGGTACTTAGCCCTAAGTTCCTATTGTGACGTAGGCGATTGGAACCGATAATGACTGAGTATTTCGTTTCAACTTTAAATCCAAAACACCAGTATTCCTTAAACGAATTTTTATTGTTTGGCAATTAAAGCGAGGCAAAATACAGAGTCTACAAACAAATGTTTAGTACAGATGAAGTTATAAAGTACTTTTATTCGTATTCCTTTCCGCCTTCATTCAACTTGCAAGCGGTCGAACAATTCGCGCCTTCGAGTTGCCTACCAATGGCTGCCAGTTCCAATAAACAAACGTTCAATGTTCACGTCCATTGACACCAGTCTTATTACTGACTTAACGAGGTAAAGGAGTGAGTCGGTGATCGGGGATCGAACCCCGAACCACATGAGGCGTAGTTGGTGAGCATTCTACCGCTGTGCCACCGGTAGAAGCAGAGGCAAAACTATCCAAACAGTTCCGAAGAAATCTGTCTATATCAATTTACCATTCAAAGAAGGTGATATGTACAAGAATTAGTCAAACGAAGACTCGATAAAACTATCAAGAGAACTTGTTATGCTGCACCACCACCACCACCACCAAGCGAGTGCTTCAACAATCTGGGAAAGACCAGTCGCCAATCCTCGACACTTCAAAGTGCGTATATCAATTTGAGTGTGTTTGTGGAAGCAAATACATAGGTCATACGGAAAGGCAATTGTCTACTCGCATAACAGAGCATTTGCCGAAATGGTCAAAAACATCCGAATGCAAAGCGCCAAAAACCGCAATAACAAAACATCTTGTGGACTACGGACATGATATCGACGCTGTCAAGTCATTCACTATTGTCAGCAGACAGACAAAGAAACAGGAAGATGCTTGCAATTTGGGAGGAGGCTTATGCAATTCGAGTTTATAAACCAGGTCTCTGTGTGTACAAAAGGAGATGGTCGTCACTCTGAATCTACCATGGTAATACGTTTTACTTATTATTCTACCTATTATTATTATTGATTCATTTAAAACTCTCCTTTATCAGTAGCATTATCTTAACTCACTTCAACACTATTATTATTGTTATTATTATTATAACTATTACTATTGACATCACTCCGTTTGCAATTCTTGTTATATTCTCTAATATCTAGTTGTTTATCTAAGTGATGTTATTGAAACGTAATGCGATTTATCTTAATGTTGATCTCTGATACTCTCTCTCCCCTTATCTATTTGAACATGACCTGGAAAAACATTCCCACCTGTCTTTCTGCATGACTAATTCAATGTGGTTTGTTTACTTATCAGTCTTATATCTCCCAATGTAATTTCAAAAGTATATATATCCGTGTATGTAGAGTATTCAGCTGACGAGTTCCACCGAAATTTGATGAATCCATCATTAAATCCTGCTTTATTAACCTGCTTTATTGCTTGTTTTATTGATGTGTCAGTTAGCATTGGTTTTGAAAATTTGGATCTTGTTTTTCATTCTACGTGCAGTGTTTGTATCAATGTTTAGGCTGTGACAGCATATGAGGAAAAGCCATGAAAGGAAAATTAGCTTTCATCCCACAAATACGCTCATCCACTCACTGAACAAGCTAATCAAGGCGACTGACTGGATGAAGTTACAAGTCGCTGAAGTCTTCTTGTAGCCTAGGTCCAAATGGTTTGCCTAGTGTTATTCTTAAAAGTGTACAGATATCCTGTGTTATCCTCTCATGGGCATATTCAATGAATCTTTTTCCCAGAAATGTCTTGCTAGCCGTTTGGAAGGACATTAAAACTGTACCTATACCCAAGTCATCTACTGGAACATGTTTTAAATTTAGACCTATTGTTATCACCTCTCCTTTTCTAAAAACTATGGAAAAGTTACTCTTGCTTAATCTTCAACCTTCACTTAAAGCCTTCAATGATCCCAAACAATTCACCTATAAACACAGTAGAAGTACTTTAGATGCAGCTGCAGTCTTGCATGATAACATTGTCTCCAGTTTAGACAGGGGGGCTAAATTTGTTCGCTGCACCTTCCGAGATTAAACATCTGCTTTCAACTTAGTACCTAGGGTTATTTCGCTAAACAAGCTTGCTGAAACTGAAACTGACTGTTGGGATGTCAAATGGTTGCATTCTTATTTCTCAGGAAGAAAGCAGTACACTGTATGTCAGGAAAAGTCATCCACTTCATTGCTTACTGAGGCTGGTGTCCCTTAAGGCGCTGTCCTTTCCCTTTTTCTGTTTTATTTCTTTTCGCATGACTTGCCTCACTCTGATGATGAGATGAACTTTGTTAAATGTGCGGACGATATAACTCTTTAAATGTCTGTTAATCTCTAGCTAGACTGTACTAAGATGAACAGCTTTCTATCAGGAATCAGCAAATGGTCTTCCTCTAATGGTCTTAAAATAAATCCTTCAAATTGTCAGGCTGTTAATCTCAGTTTCCGATGTAGAAGAAAGTTAAATGAAGCCGTTGGTTCCTATGACCCTTGCAAAATTGATGATAGTGATATAGAAACCAAGTCTGAAGTTAAGTATCTTGGATTAATTCTTTCTTCAAACCCATCTTGGTCTTCCCACGTCATAGCGATTTCTAAAAGAATATTTCGTCTGACTATTTACATTAAGAAGTTAAGGCATTCAGGCATAACTCAACCACTCCTCCTGTTACAGTTTGTCAACTTGTGCATCTTACCGATTCTCCTTTACTGTTCACCCTTATTCTTTCTTGGAATGCTTAAAATAGACTATGTCATACTTCGTAGAGCTCTAAAGACTGTCAGTCAGTAGGACGAGTGGTATCCAATTGGGCCATATCGTTGACATTGTCATTGATAGGCATTTGATGTCATGCAGCAAATTTGCTAAAGGAATTTTGTCAGACAGTGAGCATCCACTCTACCCGCAGTTCCAACCTTGTGTCTCCTCAGGTCTTCTCAGAAGACTTCATGCTTGTACGTCTAAGTATAAAAATTCCACTATACCATATTTAGCACGTACTTTATGTGATGAAAATAGTATTAGGCATGAACTAACTAACCTTTTTTGCACTACTAAATAAACCATTTCCTCCACCCTTACAACATCAACCTTTTTTGTTATTATATTTCTTATATTTATAATCTTCTCAATTCTTTTTTGGTTTATTTTCTCATAAGTGTAAACATCATTTAAGCTGGGTTACAACTGTTATTTTCTGTCTTTCCCCTCACCATACTGCTACATCAACAGAACATTAGATTCAATACTCTATAACATACTAAAATTTTCAAACTGAATCGCCAGTACTGTTTGAAACAAACTCACTGTTATTATTATTATTGTATTTAATATTCTCATTTTGTACTTCGAATATTTTTGACCTTATATCGTAAACGTGGACAAATTCCTCTGGTTAATTTTGTTTTAATTTTATTTATATTTTGAGTAAATCAGATGCAATGTATTGTGACGAATGCTGAGAATTCCATTCTGTATTATAAGTACTGTTTTTGGGATAAATTAGATTATTATTATTATATAATTCACTAAAATATACTTATTATGTAATCTATTATTGTATCTTTTCAAGTTACAGAAGTCACTGACTCAACCATACTCGACTGCCAAAGTTGTTTCCAGTCTCATGGGAGATGTTATCGAATAAATTCTGATCTTACAAACATAACCAATATCCAATATGGCTGTACATGTCCACTGTTTCAACAACATCTAATAAATTCATCTGGGGATAACCTGTGTGAAAGTAATTCATGTACACATGATAAAGAGACAAAATTCAATAGCGAATTTAATAAAAACATGGAAAAATATCATCATGCATTACCAAATCAATTTACGCGCGAAAAACAATTTACAAATTTTAAAAAGAATAAAAACTTTTGTACAGAATCATTTAGTAAGTTGATGCTTTCGTTGTAAATTTAATTTTTTTAATTAAAATTAAATTTTGAGCGATTCAATATTAAATAAACTAATGGAACATTGAATGATATTTGTTTAAATGTGTCAACAAATCATGCGATTGGATCTTCATTTAAAAATCAAAATCCGTCATTGATATTCAAAGGATGGAGGCAGTTGGGAGAATGTCCTGGACTTCGATTTCCTGCTTGCTGGCATTCATCGGTAATGCGTTTGAGAAATTTCGAAGAAACTAATGTCCTTCTCGAGATTCAATTCCACGTCACCCAGTGTTGAAGTCAGAGGATTTAATCCTGAAGTATTTAGACTCACTATTGATCTACTGTCCGACTGCTGTGAAAATATTATGTTAGCATGCAGGAATACTGGATTGTAAGGTTGTCTAACTTGACTAGAATATACCTCTAGAATACTTGACCCTATAACTAACCGATCACTGGAAAATATCTTCCACATTGAGGTAGATACAAAAGTTAGATTGGGAAGAAAGAGGATCGGAACGAAAAAAACAACATTTCATTGATATAAGAATAGAACTTGTGCACTATGTTAACGTATCACTCCATTATGGGTAAAATTTATTTTGATAAAGTCCTACAGTGTGTTCTACAGTAATATTTATTGATCACCGCGTTTTGAACACAATTTATTACTGATCATAATCATATCAAGCTCTCCACTCACACAACTTTCTAACTTCGTTTATATAATTCCATTATTTCTCCTTGCTTGATTTGATTGGTAGTAGTAGTATTTCCCATACTTCCGGTATGAGTGACGAGTTATTTCTATTGCACATGTTGGGTGTAGACTTGGTGAACCAGGCAGGATTCAGTAATCAATTACTCTCTCTCTCTTCAACTACCTAGATTACTTTTTAGAATTTTGTCCCACCTACACCATTGTGTGTGTGCTAAGGCATGTAGTGCAATCGCTCAGCTGTTTTCTAAATTACTTATCTTTTCGGGGTCAACTATTCCTACCTTAGCCAAATTCTTATGTTCTAACAGTCTGACTAACCCCGATCTACTAGTTTGACCTATATAGCTGACTCAACTCACAGTCATTTCAAGGTGTTATGTAAATTATATTATTTTGTCTAACTGGGTCAACCTACAGGGTCCTTTAACGTACCTACAGAGCTTGTCCTACCTGAGTGAGTTTGTAGGTTTGAATGCCACTCTAATTCCTGCTTTATTAAGAATCCTACATAGGGAGGGTCTCAGATGTCTCCTCCTTATATAGTGGAACTGTAGTTGCCTGATATTCTTTCTTATTTATGTTATCATTATTAGTTTCACCATTATTTTTATTTTGCTTTTGACCTTTTCTGATATTCGTTAAGAATTGTATAGGATAGTTACTCAACACGAACGCTTCTTCTATTTGTTTCATTTCATCATGTAAGCTTTTTGATGTGCTACTTAGTGATATTGCCAGCCCTTACAGATAACGGATGAGATGAATTAAACTCCAAATATGTATTAGAATGCGTTGGTTTTTTCAAAAGCTAGTGTGCAGTTTACCTTCTTCTATTCGTTTCATTTTACAATCTAACATCAGAGCTAATCCTTTTTGTTCATTTCTCCATTCAAATGTGAATTTTATTCCCTCTACTAATGATTTTATATGTGTCAAGAAGCTAGAGAGAGATATGTTCTGTTTTTAACACTTTGTGTGAAAGTGTCATCCACATATCTCCACCATATTTTTGGAGTACGATTAAGTGCATTTACAGCAATATTTTCCCGGCTGTCATCCATAAAGATATCTGCCATGATAGGGGATATTGGTGATCCATCCCACTGCTACACCTTCTGCTTGTCTATATATTTCGCCCCTGGAATTTAAAGATAGTAGATGTGAGGCATTGCTGAATTCCTAAAATAATTTCCTCAATAAGCAGGTTTGTCCCGTGACTAAGTTCACGATCAGTAGTGAGTTCTCTTCTGGGATGGGAGAGGGTTAAAATTCTAAGAAGTAATCTAAGTAGGTGAGGAGAGAGAGAGATTGATTACTGAATCCTATCTGGTTCATTGAGTCTACACTTAACACACGTGCAATAGAAATGACTCGTCACTCATACCGGAAATATGGAAAATACTACTACCAATCAACTCAAGCGACGGAAAATAATGGAATTAAATAAACGAAGTCAGAAAGTTGTGTGAATGGGGAGCTTGATGTGATTATGAGCAGTAATTAATTGAGTTCAAAATGTGGTGATCAATAAATATTAACACTGTAGAACACGCTGTGAGGCTTTATCAAAATAAATTTTACTCATAATGGAAAAACAATGTTTGCCAGACAAACTACATGATAAGTTCTATTTATAAAACCTCAGAAACTGAAGCCACAAATAAACGAATCAAAAGAGTTCAATAAGGTTATCACGATTTCGCAGCTAAAAAAATAATCTTGTCCATTCAGACACATTATTATTATTACTGAACTATTAAAAGGGAAGTTATTTTGTTAGATCAGATGTACTAGTCATTTGAGATCAATAATTAGATGTGTAATCTTTAGGTCTTATACTACTTACCGAGTAATATGAGAAGTCGAATACCACTCACACCAAGCAGTTTAGTGCTTTCTGAACACATTGAGATGACCTAAATACTCTATTACGTTTTCATTCATTTAACGGGTGAGGAGATCAATACAGGTTCGAATTAGTTCAAACTACCCAACAAGTTCAAAAGGTGGTTATCGACATTTTCCTTCGAATAACGCTTGGAAGAACCTAGTGAGGGAGACAGAATATTGTGTGTCATAAACAACTCACACTTAGACAGCGTATGAGGAACATAGGGCACCAAGCTAGAGGCTTGAAGTTTTGGTAGCAATGGTATTTATTCTTAGGAGATGGGATTGCTAGCCTCATGCACAACCTTCCCTCTATACAAGTCTTATTACTGGCTTAGTGAGGTAAAGGAGTAGGTCGGTGGCCGGGGATCGAACCCCGAGCCACATGAGGTGTGGTTTGTGAGCACTCTACCAGTGTGACACCGACATATGCATATTGTGAAGTGTTTAGACTGTGAAACCTCAAGTCTATTGTAACTTTTTATCAGTAAGAATAAAACAGCAAAGCTGTGTCGAGGGTGATCCACTGTCAGAAATAATCAATTCACGAAAGTATAAATCAAGAATAAAGCGAATCGAATCAGAAATGGTCAGCAGAATATGGAACATAATTAAGAAATATACAGTGAATTTCATTTAACCAGAAGAAGGTGATTGTACTAGACCAAGTCGAATGTTTATACACGGAAATGACATCAGCTCCAATGAAAATCAATGATACTGATTGTGGAGTAACGAAATAGGGTAAAGTAAATATTGGCTCATCACGTCACACTCACGAGGGGTTCGCCAATGGGAAACTACGAATTGGGCGTTTGTCCAAGGATTACATACAGTAGATCATGTGAGAAGAAGATAAGAGATTATAGGCAGTTATGGAGCTAGTTAAAGGGGACTGAAGCGAAGAAGATTAAATGTAGATGGGTTGTTGAAGTTCAATGTCCCCCTTAAAGCCTGATGCGAATAGTAATGATTACAACTAATGCTACTTTGACATAAAGATAAAACTTGAGCACTGTGGTAAAGCATAACTCCATTGGGAATAAAATGTTATTCTGATAAAATCACACAGTTTCTATTGTACAGTAATATTTACTGATGATCACGTATCGAGCACGGTTTATTAGGTGAAATGTTTAAATGACAGAGCACAAAATTTAAGTAGTACCAAAGAAAATTGAAAACAAGAACTGATACATATAAAAGAAGCCTTGAAACTTAATAATTACCCGGATAAATTAGTCAGGAAATATGTAAGGGAATGTAAAAATAAAATAAATAATGATAATAGCGATAGTGATAATAACAATAATAATGATAATGATAATTGTGATAATAATAATAATATTGATGACGACACCAACAATAAAGAATCTAAATCATCAGTAGTAATTCCATACAAGGAAGGAACCTCGGAAGCCTTTCGCAGAATTCTCAACAAGGCAGGAATAAAAACGGTATTCAAACCTACAAACTCAATTAGAAACAAGCTTTGTCGGTTAAAGGATCAATCCTGTGGAGCCTTTAAAACAAAACAATTTAGTTTATCTAATACCCTGCAATGATTTTCAGGTCAAATACATAGGTCAAAGTAGTAGAACAGGGGCAGTCAGTCAGACTAGCCGAACATAAAAACCTAGCAAAATCTAGATTGGTTGACCCGAATAAAATAAGAAATCTAGAGAATAGTTCAGCTATATCACTACATGCAGTCACACACAACCATACAATAGGATGGGATAGGATGACAGTTTTAAAATCTAATGTCACAGGGTATAGGGAGAGATTGATAACAGAAGCTTTGTTTATCGAATCAACCGAGAAGGAATACGTGTAATGGGAATGATTCAACACCTGTCCACCCAGATATCTGAAAAATTCTACTACCCCAACGACGACAAATAGGAGAGGACAAAGAAAACTATAAAACTCAAGTGTCAAAGTCGTTTGATCACAATTGATATGATTATGAACAATAAATTTTGTCCGAAACTGTGTCATCCAGTAAATAATACTGTTTCACACTGTGTGATACATCTAATAAACAAACTAATATGGAATTACTTATTGCCACAGTGCCCAAGTTTTACATATATATTATTAGTACTGTTCATTATCATATCAAGGCACTCACTTGCATAACTTTCTTGCTTCACTTATATACATGAGTAAAAATTGATGATGATTAGACATTTGAATAAAATCAGTAATATAAGATGATAAAGTACATTCAGAATTATTAATATGAGTGTTATCAATCAAATACAATCAGATGGGAAATAAGACGAGTGTTTTTTTTTTTTGTAATAGTAATAATAAGTAACTTGTTATAATGTGAGTAGTGAGATTAATAGAACATAAGAATTTAGCTAAGGTAAGAATGATTGACCAAGAGAAGATAAGTAATTCTGAAAACAGTTCAGCAATCGCACTGCATACATTAACACACAAACAACCACACAATGGGGTGGGGGAGAGGGTTAAAACTCTAGCAATGACTCAACGCGCAAATACCAGAGATATGGGAGATTTTATTAACAGTCAAATCGGAGAATAATAAATAATGTTAAAATATATTCAATTCATATTATAACATTCTTACAAGCTGTTGTTATTTATTTTGACTATAAAAAAAACACTCGTCTTATTTCCCATCTGATTGTATTTTTGATTGATAACACTCATATTAATAATTCTGAATGTACTTTATCTTATAGGTTTCCAGGCCGTAGGTGTTACGAACTTCCTGAAATAATTTGAGCGCCGAGTCAGATTGATTCATTATAAATTATTTAAATTAATCCCAGCGTGTTAAGAAAATCAAAACAAGTTGTCATCCTAGAATACGGTACAGATATGTAGACGACACTTTTATCATCATAAAGAAAGCTGAAAAAGAAAACTTTCTAACAGAAATCAACTTAATCTCAGAATATATTGAATTTACTAATGAAATAGAATCGGCTGAGGGAACTCTAAACTTTCTGGATTGTCTTGTAAAAAGACAAACTGACGAGAAACTAAAGTTTACGACTATACAGAAAGCCGACACATTCCAACAAGTATTTGAATTTTCAATCAGATCATCCAATAGGAATGAAAGTTTCAGTAGCTTTAAATCTCGTTAACAGAGCTAGAAACATTATAACAGATAATGATGATGTTATGGAGAACGAGATATCCAACATAAAACAGGTTTTGATTGGAAATGGTTATCCTGAAAAGCTACTTGATAATATTATCAATAGAAAGGAGCATAAGGTAAAACCGAAAATTGAAAAATCCTGGCTATCCACGATAGCCATCCCATACCAAAAGGACACAGCTGAACAGCTTCAAAGATTATTTGCCTCATATAATATTAAAGTCTATGTCAAACCTTCTAATTCTCTAGAGAAGGCGTTGGCACAGGTCAAAGATATAGTTCCCAGAATGTCACAAAGTAATTGTGTCTACAAGATAAAGTGTTCCGAATGTGATGCATGCTATATAGGGGAGAGCAGTAGACAGATGAAGGTCAGAGTGAATGAACATAGACTATGCACGAAACGTCCACCTAGAAATGAAGTAGAACTAAAAAGTCTAGAAAAAAGATCGGCTATAGCAATGCATGCAATAGACAGTGGACATAAGATTGGTTTGGACAAAGTCGAAATTCTTGGAAGAGGATTTCATTCACATAAAGAAAGGTTGACCTCTGAAGCCTTGCACATCTTAACCACATCGAATGCAGTGAATAGGAAAGATGGGATAGACTTATCACCTATATGGCAAACTCTTATGAAGCAAGACAAATGAAAAAATCAATCAGCACTCAATGAGCCTCCATGACCTTTTAAAACATATAGGATCATGTTTATCATATATGAATTCACGTATTTTCCATATGACAAATAACATACATACACACACACACACTCATACAAAACTAATCTATACAAATTAACTATACAAGAGTGAACACAACAACAATTTGACATTAGTCATTACAAATATATGTGATGACTGCTTACATATTTCCTATTGGTAAAAATGTCAATAGACAAATGACCTTCAAATAAACTGACTATAATGTATGTAAAATTGTTGACTATATACTTTGATGATTAATAAAAATCCGAATAAATCTGCTGAAGAAGCTGTGGCTTACACAGCGAATCGTTCAGAAAAATCTTGTTTTGATTTTCTGAACACGCTGGGATTAATTTAAATAATTTATAATGTACTTTATCTTATATTGTTGATTTTATTCAAATGTCTAATCACCAATTTTTACTCATGTATATAAATGAAGCGATTAAGTTGTGTGAGCGCCTTGATATTGATTATGAGTGGTAATAAACTGTGTTCGAAACGTGGACATCAGTAAATATTACTGCATATCATCACTGTGTGATTTTACAATGATGAAGTTTTTTCATAATGGTTATACTACTTTCCAGTGATAAGTAGCATGAGTTAAATGTAAATAAAATGATTTAGTTAGATTGACGTATGAAAAAGTCACAACGTTACACATTACACGATTTATTTAAATTGCTTCCTCTTAGGGTTTTTTTAAAAATCCATTATGGAAACTAATTGTTTCATATTTACTGATATCTTATTCTAACTCACTAAAAAAAATTATGAGCTCCTCTGCAGTGACTATTTATTTTAAATTATCCAAAGATCCGAAATATTCAGGTTTTAGTTTGTTGAGATTTGATTTTTCCCAAGTTTGGTCGCGAAGTGATTTAAGTCAGGGAACTATTGAAAGTCAATAGAGAGTACTGGATAGCTGTTTCTCCCTTGTTTGGGACTTGCAGGCGGTACGCAATCATGACCCGACTGTCATGCATCAAAACTAGGATGTGCAGGTTAAAACGCGACCTCATCAACCCTTCAGTCACTGGAATGCAATCCGATAGCCCATGAATTCTAACTTATATCAATTCACTACTTTTAGTTCCACCGCCAGCCAACGCTGTCGGTGAGTGTTAGTCTTCACCCCCGACGTGGTGGAACCCATTGTCCATGACTTCCAACTGGAAGTCCATTCCTCTTCCTCCTGTACTCAGTCACTAGTAAGCTGAGTGGTCAGTGAGCTCACCTTGTAACCATAATGTCCTGTATTCGATGCCCAGTGGTGCCAAGAGTGATTACTGATGAGGAGTCCCCGTATAGGACAAAACAGCTGTCCAGTACTCCCTGGCTTTCAATGGCTCTCTAACTGCTATTAATCTGTTTTCAGACTTATAACTTGACATTTATAACATTTATATAACTTACCTTCCACTTACTACTGTCAAATTTTTCTTGTTCTATTCAGTTCAGGTTACCTGTGATAGTCAAGGCATCAATATATGTTATAAACATCCTTATAAAATATCAGATCCTGTTCCAAATAATGATACAGCAAGCTCATTTAAAGTTTATCTTAGGTCTACAATGATCTATCCTGAATTTATTGTAACAAAGTTCAATGTTTCAATGAGTAGATCAATAGCTCAATCGTGTCTATTAAAACAAACAGGTGATGAGACATTTTGCTCAACATTCAATATTCAATTGAATCAATTCAAACAATGCGGAATTTATGAAATCGTATATAAAGTGAGTTATTATTATTATAATTGTTGAAAAGAGTAATTTTTCGCTGAACGCATTTCATTTTAAATGACTTAATGTGAACTGTGAGCCACTTATACGTTGCAAGGACCTGGTGAAGGTGAAGGAGTGGAGTGGCTTTTCTTTTGCGTTACTCCGTTAAGCTGGTAGTTGTGAAGACATTATTTTTATATGCTGAATTATTATTATTGTTCCCTTGGGGTCCTAGTGGAACATAGGGCTTCAACTGCACGCCTCCACTTGCTTCTGTCTTCTGCTGTACTTTTCACCTGCATCCATGTTAATCCATACTGTTTCAACTCCTCTTCACACGATCTCCTCCATGTCACCCTTGCACCAACGAACCACTCGCCGCTTCCCTTTCGGGTTCCACTCGAGCGTTGGCCTGACGCGCGATGTCACCCAGCGGCCTCCTCAGCGAGTGTCCAATCCATCTCCACTTTCTCCTGCATATTTGTTGGGCGATGGGTTCTTCCTTTGTTTCTTCCCATAGCTTCTTGTTGATGGTTCTTTCCGGCCATCTGATCTTCAGTATAGAGACATCGAAGACAGTTGTTGATAAATATCTGCAACCTGTTGGAAATATTCTTTGTGACACAGCCGCTAAGTTTCTGATCCGTATAGAAGAACTGACTGACTTGACGTTTGTATTGAAAATCCGAGTCATTTTGTTGTTGATGCAGGCTGAGTGACAACGATTTCCAGATTGGTTTCAGGTTGATGAATGTGTTTCTCGCCTTCCCGATTCTCGATTTCACATCCTCGTCCGTTCCTCCTGTGGTTGAGACAATGCTCCCTAGATAAGTGAAAGAAGTAACCTCTTTCAAATCCCTCCCGTTGATGGTGATTGGCACTGGATGTTGCTGCTGCTGTTGTTGCTGTTGGTTGGTTATTTTCATAACCTCCATCTCGTCTATGTTCACCTGGAGTCCTTCCTGTCTTTGCTGCTTCTTCGACCAGTTTGTCAGTCTTATATGCCGAATGGAAAACGTTAATTAGTGAAGAAAGAATATTGATTTCGATAATTTATTCTTTAAGTTCTAGAGTTATATATCCATATTAGTTAAGGTATAAGTGTTATGGAGAACATTTATGCTTTATTTAGGTTAAAAGATTCAAGATGTATCTGTGAATAAGTTAGCTTACCAGACTACATGATGTCAATTTTGGTTGATAGTGATTAGTAAGTGAAATTCAGAACGCGCACTTCGTCCCGTTCGGGACTTCTCAGCTGCATGTATCTGCATTCCCAGTGAGTGATGAAGCTGGAACCCAACACCCATCTTTTCAAACGCTAAAACGTTATTCACTACGCCTTCGGTCTACGAGAACCACGTCTTTTGCCAAACAACGTTTAACCACGACAATAAAGAAAACTTTCTACTCTGCACATCTGTTGCTAACCTTCAGTAACCATCCAATGTTCCCCCAGCAACTGAAAGATATCTTACATAACCTTAGATCTTCTTGTTGAATATACCATTTCAGCTGTTGCTGTAGTTGAAGTTATATAGGATGCACAATCAGGCAGGTTCTTCTACGGGGTCGAGAACATTCAGCAGGGAGGAAATTAAGTGCATAAAAAGCTCGATTCCCTCATACTTGTATTGTTTATGCTCCTTCACTCTTACATTTACCTAGAATTTCTGGAATTTCCTCCTACATAGTTGGCGTCACAACCTCCACAACTGATCTGGTACACACAATTTCTTTTGGTTGTCTTCTTCTATTTTATCATCCTTAACCTTCACCAGTGATGAGCGTAAGATATCCATTGCACGAAACTACACACTTTTGTGACGATTGTTAGGGATTCGCTTTATTTCCTCAGACTTTTCTTTGAGATAAGGAATCGCCACTGTACTAGCCCAATTCTTAGCAACAGGTTTCGATCCATCTCTACTCTCACATCTTAAATATTCTTTCATAAAGTCTTTGGGATAATTATTTGATTCAAGAGTGGAGTGAACCAATTTTAGTTCCCTGCTAATCTCTTTTTCCTCAGTAACTAGACGTTTGGCTCTGATAATGAGATCCTTAGCCACAGTTACTTTGATGCTGAGGGGATGTGCTGAACAGTAAGTAATCTAGGTATTTGTCCGAATATGTCGGCTTTCTGGAGATGTTTTTATTTTAAGTTTACCCTCTGGTTGTCTTTTTACTAAACAGTCCAGGAAAGCCAAATCATTTCCATCGGATTCAACGTTGGCGGCATTACTTATATTTCAATTTCTCTGAGACTTATACACGAATATAATTTTACGAGAGGTGATTTGGAAACTACTTCGTTACTACGGGGTGCCACCGACAATTATACATCTCATCCAACATCTGTACGACAATGCTGCATGCCAAGTAATCCACAATGGGAAACTCACGGAATCCTTCGAAGTGAGGGTAGGAGTAAGACAAGCTGGCTGCCTACTATCGCCAATGATTTTCCTGATTGCAGTAGATTGGATAATGCGACAGAGAGCAGGCAATGAGGAAACAGGCATAAAATGGACTCACACAAAAAACTTGGAGGATGTGGACTTCGCCGATGATATATGTCTGATTTCCCACAAACTGGAAGATATGCAAGCGAAAAGCAACTAGTTGGCAGAAGAAGCATCAAAGATAGGACTTCAGGTGTACATAGAGAAAACAGAGATGATGAAGATTCCTGGGCAACACCACCAACAGCAACAGCAACAACAACAGACAACAATCGGCATAAATGGAAGGAACCTGAAAGAAACAACCTCTTTTACCCACCTGGGAAGCATCGTCTCAACTACAGGCGGAACTGACGAGGATATCAAAGCAAGGATCGGGAAAGCAAGGCAAGCTTTCATTACTCTCAAGTCTGTGTGGAGGTCAGCATCATTCAGCGTCAAAAATAAGATCGGGATTTTCAACTCCAATGTGAAGTCAGTACTACTATACGGATCAGAGACTTGGTGTGTCACAAAGAGCACCTCAAACAAGCTACAGACCTTCATTAACAGTTGTCTTCGCTCAATACTCAAGACCAGATGGCCGGAAAGGATCAGCAACAGGGATCTCTGGCAATGAGCGAACCAACCAGGAACCGATTGCGAAACAAATAGGCAGGAAGAAATGGAGATGGATTGACCATACTCTGAGGAAACAAACCTTCAAGTGACATCACTAGACAAGCCATCGCTCGAGTGGAACCCGAAAGGGAAGTGGCGAGTTGGTCGTCAGTGCAAGGGTGACTTGGAGGAGGTGATGTGAAGAGGAGATGAAAGCGTGTGGGCAGACTTGGAGCCAGGTGAAGAATCTAGCAGAGAACCGAACGCAATGGAGACGCCTGGCTGAAGCCCTATGTTCCTCCAGGAATTAAAGGATACAATAATAATAATAATTTTTACACATATGTTTACTTCTCACTCGGTGCCCAATTATATTTTGGAAGCTATTCATTCGACCAAATCTTGATCAGAATTCATATGAACTCTTATTTATTGTTTGAGGCTTTCCGTACATAATGACTACAACTCACTGAAATAGGGAACTCACTATTCATCTGATCTGACTCTTTACCACTCTCTATTTTTAGGATGGATCAGCTTACTATGGGACATTACACGCTGAAGATAAAGAAGACGTAGGCGAAGGAGATTCTATTTCTATGCTAAGAAATTTTCATATTGATTTTCTGTGTTTTAATGAAGGCAAATCAAAGATGTCTACGACGTATTTCTATGATAGGTGAGATCATTATCATCATCAGTATATGAGTGTATTTCATTATTTACTAGGTATTATAATATTTTGTTGACGTATTTCTCTTGAATACCAGAGGAAAATGTGCTGTCTTCAAGTAATGCGATATGATGGAACAATTCCTTTGTGTTGTAAACAGTTAGTCCTTTTAAAAATAATTTGGATGTCCTCCTATGAGAAGACTGAATTTATCTGAAAAATAATGATTATGTATTTGAGTAGTATATTTCGAAGACAATCTGATCACACGCATAATATGCTTCTCAAATCAATTTATGCGGAAAAAAATGAAAGGCCGGCTGGCAGAAGCAAAACGATAGGGGGACTTAAGAATGATAGGAATAATAATGATAATTAATTTATATTTCGTATAAACGGGTAAGTTTACAAGAAATGCATGCCATTTTTACAGGCACGATCAGTTATCTTATAAATTACAATCCTGAAGTATCATAAATTAATACTTTTTCAAAAGTTTAAATTGTTCGATTATTGTAGAGGTAATCAGAACAGGTTCTTATAAATGTTAAATTGTAAACGCTTCACTATCAAACTTGAGCGTTCCATTTCATGCTGATAGTTATGGTCAACCAGTGAACCACGTATATTTGGGTAAGTGCTATATCGTCACGAGATAAAAAGCTATTTCAGGAAGAGAAGAACCCCTTGGGAAACACAGCAATAAGTATCCAGTTAAACGTAGAGAGAAGTATTATTACAGCAATAGGTAATTTATAGTCCATGTGCGGCTAGGAACCAGAATGGAGGAGAATTAATGCATACAAAATGACAACTGGAGTATGTAGGAGTTGAAAATTATCCTCATGCGAGTCAGTGAGATTTCAAATGCAACCATCAGCATGTGTTGATTATTTCTTAAATAACCAGATTTATTGGCGCCGAACAGATAGTTAATGGGATTTTTTAAAATTTGTATAAAGGTAATATTCCCTAGCTGTCATCCAGGATGCGTTGTGGAAGAAGGTAATGGGTAATTCACGAGGCACTTGTAGGACATGGGACCAGTAATGTTCGCAGATAATAATAATTTGCTTTATTCCAAAACAGTACTTGTGATACAGAATGGAATTCTCAGCACTTTTACTACAGTATTGCATCCACTTAGTACATTCACAATAAATAGAATTCTACATAAATTAAGGAAATCTCATTTCATTATGACAACAACATACTGGCATGTCGGTATCAAAGCCAAAGCTGAACAGTGTTTGAAGGTGTTAGAAAAGTAGATGCGGAAGAAAGAAACAAAGCAGCACATAACAGAAAAAAAGAGAGAGAAAAGGAAAAGAAAGAAAGAAAACGTTAACCTATAAATGATATGAGTTGGAAAGACGAGATCCAATTGTTCTACTGACTATTTAATAAGTTATAGGTATCGCGCCTAACGCTTTCTTTATCGCACAGAACACGAGCTAAGTAGGGTATGGCTGAGTTTTTGTACTTGCTAGTGCGAGCGTATAGTTTTCTATATAGGCTTCTGGTTTTGTCTGATGACGTGCAAGGGGAGAGATGTGAATGAAGAGGGTGGTGTGATTTAGATAAAATGGATTTGGCCCAATTTTCACATGAGTTCATGTGTCTGTCAACCAGAATATTAACAAGTTAGTTAAGTGGCATATTGCTTACCCTGCTGACAACCTTTAACATCCTGCGTAAAGGTTATTGTAAGTGGTCAAATATCTACATTCTTTATTCTCATTCAAAAAGTCATATGGAAGCTAAAATGATGAGAGCGAAAAAGGAAGACAAACGACAGCAGCACAGAAGAAAGAAAGTGGAGTCCTCAAGGAGTGACTTATAAATTTATGTATATATATATATATATATAATCCATAAATATGTATAATTTTACGGACACCTTTCTTTAAAGCTTTATTTGAACCATGATCAAAAATATTATTGGGCGCCAAGTGAATAATAGGCATTTGTAAAATTTATGTTTGTATAATCTCAGTGAAATTGAAATAAGTAATTCCGAGGTTTCCTTAGCTCGGCAAACTTGTCCGAACTTCTTCAGGGAAATTAATCGAAATTAAAATAACAGGAGTTTATATATAGAAAGAATATCTTGATATAGGAAGAAAGACCAGATTTGCAGCATAAAATAATAGCATCATTCTATTTCACAGGTTCTCATCAGCTGCAAACTACCTGAAATTACAATGGTTATAAATAATAACATTTCATACTTCAGTGTTTCAAAGGTAATAGAGAAGACATTACAAGATGAAGGCATCCGGAATATAAACATTACAATTTTTGGTTTAAGCCACTATCAATTTATATACTTTCAAACTATGAAAAAAGGGGGATGAGAGAAGACAGAAAACAGAAAAATCTAATTAACATTGTTAGCTTATACGTCTAAATAGCAACTCAAGAAAGTTAAAGTTCATCAAATCGGAAACTTGCTCAGTATGAATGATGACAATTAAATGTTTAACTATAGATGAAGTTTTTAATCTGCCACGTGAGTTTATGGTGGGAGGTCCCACAGTTCGGTTGTTTCTCAAGCCATTTAGGTATATTCTTCCATCCTGGCGCGCCAAGTGCATTTAGTGCAGCATATGTATGTGGCACTACACACACACACACGAACTTGCACACATATGAATTGATATACACTATGGGACGTGACATAAACACTTCTGCAAAGCCAGCATTCTGGTAGAGCATGTTTTTGGCTCCTTCACCAGTTATAAACCGAACTGCTTATTAAGTTTTGTGGATGAGCGAGTTTAATCTGTTTCTTAAAATTCTACTATTTACTTCCTCATTGTATGATACTTTGTTGAAAACACCTTTAATTAGTGTATGGTGAATAACAGAGGAATCCGGGATGCGCAAATCGTCCTATTTCGGAATCGTCAGCTGGATGTTCAATCAATCGGCTGGAAAATCTAAAATTCAATTAAATAAATGACTTCTACAACTGTTTAAAAATTTTAAAGGATATCCTCTTTCAACAAGAGTATCCATCAGAATTTTAGTTTCATCCTCTATAACATTAGCTGTACAAATACGCTGAATTCTCTTGAGTAGAAACTTCACCAAGCCTCTCTTATACTGTAGTGGATAGAAACTGTGAATATTTAAATATTGCCCAGTCTAAGTAGAATTGATCGCTTCGATGAACCACCTTCTTTCTGACTCAGAAATATGTCTAAAACTGCAAGCTGATTGTAACTTTTTTCCTCGCAAGTAAGACTTTTATGATTTTGTACGTAGTTAAGTCGAACCAGTAGACGATTCGCATCTTCATGATCATCACATATCAAAACAATGTCATCCACGTACCTCCCATAGGAAGGTACTTTTGCAATTAAATCAACGGAAATTAAAAATTAGGAACAGAACAAATAATTATTTAATTCACTTTTAGATTTTCCTGTCGATTGGTTGGAATGATGTGCTCGGTCTCAAGTTGACATTTCAACTCCATTTGCAGATGCTTCAACAATATCTGATCATGTAACTTAAAGTCAATTGGTTGATGGTAACTAACAGTGGAATCCAGGATGCGCATTTCGCCCTATTTGAGATTCGTCAACAGGATATGCCTATATTCTCCTGTGAGTGATGGTGTTCTCACATGAGGCTCTAACCCAAGACCCATAGTTTCAAACGCCAAAGCATTACCCATTAGAAAATCTAAAATTGAATTATATAATTAATAAGACCCGTTGCACGAGAGGAGGCTCTCGTAGCCCAAATGGTCTAGTGGATAACGCTTTGGCGTTTGAATTTATGTGCACTGGGTTCCAGCCTCATTGGGAACGACATCATTCACTGAGGAACTCAAGTACATCCAATTGACGAGCCCCAAATAAGATGAAATGCATATTGGCCTGAACTCCAATTGAAACAAATATTTAGTTGAAAATATTTTACTACTGACAAAAACATAGTAATATATACTAATAAGAATAATATCAGCTTAATTAAAAGACTAATTCAGCGAAAATTCTCTTTATCGACGAAATCATCTTCGGAGGCTGCATAGTCGTATTTATACTTAACAAAAATATATATAGTGGCCTATTATTGAGTAATAGGAGGGGGTGACATAACTGATATAATTAGTCGGAAGTAGCTTCTGAAGTAAAAAATTAAAAGTTGCAAATTACGTGGTACTGAAAGGCACAAAGATAGAAATTTGATAAGGCTAAAATTGCTATTGAATGAGAATAAAGGTAGTTGAGTGTCAATTTAACAAGTGAGAAGAGCGTGAGAGTGATAATAGTGAATTAATTATAAAAGCAAAATAAAAGTAAAATTAAAAATTAAGAAAAAGGAAAAGAAAAAATCAAAATATTTTTTACAGGGAACGACCAGTGAAGAGGTTAAGACCGAGGTGGAATAAGAGATTGGATAAAATTTTTCTGTATACAGAGTTCGGAGTTGTATTGCGAATTGCTAGTGCCTCCGCCATACACAAAAGCTGAAACCTGAAACCCTTTGTACCATTTAGCTTCACCTTGTAGATGATCTTGAAAGACGACTCTGGTGGAACTGCGTGGCCTGATTTCACCAAATGCTCGAGAATCGAACTAGTAATTGTCTTGCATTTTCCTTTTGCTATTCATGCCGGATAATGTTCAGAGATGGGTTTGGAAAGTTTGCACCTTGTGAGGCCATTATAACTAGCTCCACAAGAGCAGGTGAATTTATAAACACACACTGAAGTGGCCCGTACAAAGCGGCAATTTATCCTTCACACATCCACTGATCATTTGGCGGCTGTAGAAAATGATCAGTAGCTTAGCTATAAAGAAGACTTTCCTCAGTGACCTGCATAAGCGATTCTTCAGGATCTTCGCTGAATTTGTTTTTTATTTTTTTCATGACTCAATGGGTATTTTCGGTGATCAGCTTAATTCTTGAAACTATTTTTACACACAATGCTGAATTCTCAGCGTCATTTCTTGGGAGAAATATTTACTCCCTGTACACTAGAATCTTCAACTGAAAAAAGTTTATCAACAGTTTATGTTGTATGACGCAATATTATTCTATCTCGAACAAGACTTAATGATCTACAACATTTTCTCTTCAATATCTTCTTGAAGTGCTCCTTAGAGGTAGGAGGGAAGTCAACTAATAATTTTTGCAATAAGAGAAATGTAGATACATTATACTGAACTGGAATTCAAGTAGCCCAGTGGTTTCAATGGCCCGCCAAATAAATATATGCAGTACAGCTAAACAAATATGAATTAATTTTGAATGTTTTGCCTAAAAATATTCTTTCCTAACCCACTTTTTCCCCTCCTTTTCAAGATCATTTTCTAGCAAATTCGTTGAACGAAATCGCCAGCTGATATTATCTGAAAGTAAAAATGAAACCAACACTGTCTCTGCAATGAAATATGTTAAACATGGGCCAACTAACAAGGTACTATTAACAACAGTCACTAATTCCGACTCAATTCCCCTGCCAATTGCCCCTGATCTCTCCAACCAACTTTTTCTAACGTTACTCAAATTGAAGGAGAATGATATAAGATTGGAAATTACTTCATCAGTATCCAGTAAGTTGAAACATTGTTATTACTATTCCCTTGGTTTTCAAGTGGAACATAGGCCTTCAGTAGTACATATCTATTTCACCCAGTTCCCCAAAGACTTCTTTTCAACTGGTTCCACTATTAACCGACACAAACTTTCACTTCCTCCTCACATGATCTCTTCCATGTCACCATTGAACCCACCTCCAACTCGTCTTTCGTTTCCCATTTGGGTTCCACTCGAGGACTTGCCTTGAGTGTGATGTTACAGAACGGTCTCCACAGTGTATGTCCGGTCTATCTTCATTTCCTTCTACGCAATTGTTGAGCAATACGTTCTTGACTGGTTCGTTGCCAAATCAGTCTCTTATCACTTGCTTATCCTTTCTGGCTGTTCTATCTAATCTCCAGTATGCAGTGAATGCAACTGTTGATAAAAGTGTTCAGGCTGTTGAAAAGACACTTGATGACGTGCTGAATCTCTGACCCACACAGAAGAACTGACTGCCCTCCAGTTGGAGGGCAGAAGATTTCAGAATTATGAACACCAGTCTTGTGTTTCCGATCCTGTCGTTTTACTTCCTCATCTCTGCCGCCTGTAGGTGACCATTTCTATGTGCGTATATCAGATCGCTTGTTCTTGTGGAGTCAGGTATATTGGCCGTTCTACTCGTATCCTGTCGAAGAGGTTACAAGAAGAAATAAAGTAGTGGATATATATAAGGAGCGTGATAATTGAACGACTGGTCAGAATTGATCGTTCCATCTCAACAAACGCCTCCTCCTTCAAAGTAATCTACAAAGTGAAAGACAATCTACCAAAGGCAGTACGCCTTCGTCTCCTTGGCATTGTTGAAGATTTAGTCAGTCAGATAGGGGAACCGGAGCTGTGCATACTAAAGAAAAGTATTCAACGACTTCTACTATCATGGTAACAAACTTGCCTGCTGATTTCTATTGACTTGATTTTTGTTTGCTTGTTCTTCTAACTCCTTATAACTCCTGTGTTTTGTTGAGTAACTCCACATTTTCCTTCGTTTCTATGTACATCCTGATTACAACTCATTCATGACATTATTCATATTATTGTTTAACTCTAATGCATTGACTAATTTCAACAACTATTGTAACGACAGAAGACAAGGGCCAGGCGACAGATCGTTTATTGAGAAAATCAACAGATATTTATAGATTTTCATGTATATTATTATTAGTGTTATTGTTAGCAGAGAAGCAACCTCTTCTGATTGGTTGCTTTCTGGCTGAAGGTTATTCTGTTATCTCTTTGTGGCCGTTTCTTAGAAAGTTAAGCCATTTATCTGCGAATCGTATTTGCCCACGTTAAGTCTGTTGTGATTGGTTGGTGAGTTACCCAAGGTTAGGCTTTGTTATTGTTATTTATCATGACCTCGATTTGAGACGTAAATTGTTGTCTACAATTTCACTCCCCTATGACTATGAAAACTCATCCTTTTTGTTACTACCCTGTCATGAGAAAAATTGCATATAAATGCAATTGTACATCTAAAGAAAATGAATTTGACGAAAAGAGCCTCTTCGCTGAACTACACTTGTTTTGTTACCTATTAATGCCAGTAGCTGAAACGATGCTACCCTGGTCAGGTGAGTGAAAGAGGTAACTGTCTTCAAATTCCTCTAGTAAAATGTGAGTAGTGCTTTTTGTTGGTGGTTGGCTGGTTGGTTGGTCGGTGGGCTTCTCTGTAAACCCTTGAAGTCCTGTCTTGACTGCTTCTTCTGACAACTGGACGGTTTTCTCTTACAGACCTTCGAGAGTGTCAGCCATTAGATATAAATTACCCACAAAGTCCAGACACATAACGCTAGTGTTATTCCCGAAATCAACAACTAGTGTGTCAAGCGTAATCATATTACTTCATTAGCGGACTGATTTACGTCATTCTTATGTTTAAAGGTGTCATTGTGTATATCGATTTTCAATTTATCCTGAGTTTTCCCGTTGCATATCATTGTTAACTAATCTGCATTTTTAATTCACCTAGAAGATATACTAATCGAATATTGTTTGGTCGATGGTGAATTCAATTCGTCCAGTAGAAAATTACCAACTGTTGACAATGAAAATCATCTTGGAGTAAGGTGAGTGAATTATCGACCGATGGCCTTTATGTTGTATCGTCTTAAATTGAGAATTTGGCTTAACGTAATACTAGTTTGACCAAGTAGCCGGCTAACCAGAATTTAGGTGATTCCGAAGTGATTCGGCCGTTTCAGCTAAATCAATTTGGAGAAACGACTGATAAGCTAGGTCAAAAAAGGTGAAACAGCTGTCACTTATCATCTTTCTGACTAGAAAGCACTAACACTTGTTGTGAGTAGTGAGTGGCTCATTTATAACATCAAGCAGGTCGAACAAACATTGTAATCTGCTCTGGCTGGCCATCTTATCTTCAGTATCCAGCAAACTAAAGCAGCTGTTGATGTGGCATGTAGTACAAGTTTTTGACGTATACAGAAGAACTGACTGACGTAACGTAAGTGTTGAAAGTGTGATTCTTATTCTAAAGCTTTGCTTGTTTGAAGGCAGTGATGAACGGTGAGCATCCCCAAACTAGAGGATTCTATTATGGTAACAGTCAATTGTACTATTGTTACAGCTCATTAGAACTAGATAGATTAGGGAACACTAGTCTGGTTCTTAACGAGGCGGTGTTGATTCCTTTGATATCCAGTCTTTATCAACTTTTCAATTTTGTTATACACATGTCCAAACCAAGTTCACTTTTGGCAGTTTGAAAAAATTTGGGCATTGGGTATATGATATTCATTATAATAAAGCCTTTTTTGTATTTCCCAATGAATGAAAAACAAAACGATGTTGTTTTTTTAATGACGTTTTGCTATTTAATTCTGCTGCTAATAGCTTTATCAAAGTAGTGATATTAAATCAGAATTAACGAAATCTCAGCATATATATAACAACTTAACCATCGTTCCTCAGCATGGGGGCATTTTTGCGCTGTCAAGTTGGCCAATTAGTAAAGATAACAAAACCAGGTGTAGATTGTTGGATTTGATAAGTGTATAAAATTATAAAAGCAGAGCGTGTGTCTAAACAATGAAATTGCCTATCACATTCATGTTGATTTTGTCATTTCATGGGGGAGGAGGGGCTGTTGTAACCAAGTAAAATTCTGTTTTAATCCGTCATTCCTATTCAGACAATTTAGATTCCATTTGATATGAAGTACATTTGTGATTTCTGAAATATTTGTGTTTAAATTTATACTACTTATTATTAATAAGTAGCAAGATGCAATCATACTTTATTTATCTTTTTATCACTCCATATAATTATGGTTATTGACTTCCCTCGCTTATTGCATGAAGTTTCGATTTGATCTGTTTGTGATCAAAATATGTTAGCTGAACACTTCTTATTATTATTCCAGTCTCTCTGTTGAGCACTATTCATTCAAATTTTTTTATTATTTTTAACCGATATATCTACGCGATGTTTATATCCCTACACAGATCACCTCTGACACAGCTTTGTTGTGATTCTTCTTATTGTTTGGAGGATTTCATCATGATCTGACATCAGTTAGAGAGCCATTGGAAAACCTGGACAGCTGTTTCGTCCTAGTTTTGGACTCTTCATCAGATTTTACAATGGTTCTCTAACTGATGTCAGCTCATGATGAAATCCTTCAACCAATCAAACAAACAAAAATCCCTACAAAAACAAATCCTTGAAAAATTTTTTCTTATTAACGCACAGTAACAATGCATTTTATGGCATACAGACTAGGCCCCTCATAATTTAAGATTTCTTTATTCTATTTGTCATATTAATGGGCTACTTGGAAGGTAGGTGTCTCTAGTTGATGAATCACAAATAAGACGAAACACAAGTCCTGAATTCCAGTGTTAGATACTATCAACCAAACTGGCATCATTTTTCAAACTCTTAGAACAATGTTTCAGAAGATACTTCAAAAAAGAGACTTGACATTTCAGTCTCATAAAATCAATCCACGGGGAAATACAAATCATGAGTAGTTTCAACAAATATTTTGTTTTGACAAACTGTTTTATTTTATCCTTTGTTTCTCTTCAGATGCCTCAATATGCATATTGGCGATCGGATAAATACAACTCACAATGCATTGAATTATCAATGTATCTTGTTTGAACGAAATAAACATGATAATAAGCAAGAAAATGATTCAGTTAGTTGGATAAGTGAATCAGTGAATTTACAAAATTTCGTGTTACATAAACACTCTCAAATCACTTGTCTTATACGTGTTTGTAAAATACCCAAATATTGTACATATGTAAGTATTCAGCTGTGAGATTCTTTTTTGTTAATATTTGAAACTTTTAATAATAGAAGCTCCGTACAGTGGGTTTCAAACACACACATGAAAAATTAGATTAAAATTGCCGTTCATTTGTTCCAAGTGTTAGTTTGTAGAAGATTTGATCTGTTTCAAGTAACATCATAGATTGATGGCTTTACAGGTAGGGAATCATTGAAAACCACACCAGAAGAGTACTGGATGGCTGCTTCGTCTTAGATTCGGACTCTTCACCAGTAAGCACCCGTGCATCTACTTCCAGGGATCGAATACAGGACCTTTAAGAAGTGATTATTATTATTAATATTATTATTATTATCATTATTACTAAAACTATAAGCCGTATTAATATACGTGTGACGCTTGGGAACTGGGGTAGTAAGTAATTCCATATTAGTTTGTTTATTAGATATACCACGTAGACAGTGTGAAACAGTATTACTATTATTATTATTTACTGGATGACACTTTCAAAAACAATTTATTAGGGGGTCATAACCATATCATCAATTATAGTCACACGACTTCGAAACTCGAGTTTTATAGTTTCCTTTGTTCTCTCCTATCTGTCGTCGTTAGGGTAGTAGAATTTCCCAGATATCTGGGTCGACAGGTGTCGAATCATTCCTATTGCAAACACGTATTTGCAGTTGATTTCATAAACAAAGCTTCCGTTATCAATCTCTCCCTCCATCCTGTGACATTAGATTTTAAAACTGTCATCTTATCCCATCCCATTGTATGGTTGGTTGTGTGTATTTTCATGTGATGAGTGCTATAGCTGAACTATTCTCCTGATTTCCTATCTTATTCGGGTCAACTAATCTAGATTTCGCTGCTAGACTTTTATGCTCGGCTAGTCTGACTCACTAACCCTGTTCTCCTAATTTGACCAATGTAATTGACCTGACAATCATTGCAGACAGGGTATTAGATAAACTAAATTGTCTTGTTAAATTGGTACCACTGTCAGGATCCTTTAACCGACGAAGCTTGCTCCAAATTGAGTTTGTGGGTGGTTTGAATGCCAGTCACTTTTATTCCTGCCTGCCTTGTTAAGAATTCTGCGTAAGGTGGTTTCCGAGGTTCCTTCCTTGTATGGAATTACTACTGATGATTTAGATTTCTTATTGTTGGTGTTGTCATTATCCTGTGCATGTTTGACATGCATGTCGTCATTAATATTGCTATTATTTTTATCGCTATCACTACTATTATTATTTATTTTATTTTTACTTTCCCCTACATGCTTCCTGATTAATTTATCAGGGTAATCATCAGTTAAGTTTCAAGGCTTCTCTTATATGCCTCACTTCCTGTCTCAGATTTTCCTTGGTACTACTTAGTTTCTGTGCTCTATTGTCACTTAAACATTTCACCAATCCTATTTTTACTGACATAGGATGAGACGATCGGAAGTCTAAATATCTGTTTGAGTGTGTGGATTTCCTGTAAACACACTAGTGTGTTTAACTTCCCATCTTCTTTCCTTTTTACGTTGCAATCTAACAGTGGAGGCTGCTCCCCTTCCTGACTTTCTAATTCTTAAGTGAATTGAATCTAAGACAGCAAGTGAAAATAGGATTGGTGAAATGAATGTTTAAGTGACAGAGCACAAAAACTAAGTGGTACCAAGGAAAATCTAAGACAGCAAGTGAGGCATATAAAACAAACTTTGAAACTTAATTAGTGATCACCCTGATAAATTAATCAGGAAGTATGCAGGAAAAATTAAAAATAAACCAAATAATGATGGTGACAATAATAATAATATTAATGACGACATGCATGTCAAACATGCACAGGATAATGACAACACCAACAATAAGAAATCGAAATCACCAGTAATATTTCCGTACAAGGAATGAACCTCGGAAACCACCTAACGCAGAATTCTTAACAAGGCAGGAATATAGGTGGCATTCAAACCATCTACAAACTCAATCTGAAACAAGCTTTGTCGGTTTAGGGATCCTGCCAGTAGAGCCAATTAAACAAAACCTAACAGCAAAATCTAGATTAGTGGACCCAAGAAATCTGATGAATAGTTCAGCCATAGGACTGACTATATGCAATTACACACAACCAACCATGCAATAGGATGGGATAGGATAAAATGACAGTTTTAAAATCTTAGGTAACAGCAGGGTGGAGGGAGAGATTGATAACAGAAGCTTTGTTAATCGACTCAACTTCAAACACGTGCGCAATAGGAATGATCCAATACCTGTCGACCCAGATGTCTGGAAAATTCTATTACTCCAACGACGACAAATAGGAGAGAACAAAGAAAACTATAAAACTCAAGTTTCGAAGTCGTGTGATTATAATTGATGATATGATTATGAGCCACAATAAATTTTGTTCTGAACTGTGTCATCCAGTAAATAATAATAATAATGCTGTTTCACTCACTGTGTGTGATATATATCTAATAAACAAACTAATATAGATTTATATTCAGACTATATGTTTTCGTGTCGATTTGGATTAATTTATTATTATTATTAAAAATATTCTCTAATGAAAAACTTTCATTTTCCCTCCATTTTTCAAAGGCTAATCCCTATTCATCAAAAGAAACACGAGTTGAACAGAATGATTTAAATATCCCCTCCAAAGTGTATATACCCTTTATATTATGGAACAATTCTATTACTAATAATAATAGATTACAAGATCAATACGGTGCACTCTTCCCACCAGCAAATTTAGCTGATTTTATACAATTCTATTTTATACAAACTACACTGGAAACAAATTATACTACTGATAAAAGTAGTGATGTAAATTTGCATGTAAAGAATGCAGGTAAGTGTGAACATATTTCACCTCAGTTCTGATACTTTTGGTAATAAGTCAATTAGTTATTTGGCACTCAGTTATGCGGAACAGATCTTTGAAGGCTGATGATACTTCTAAGTTGACTAGGCTGCAGCAGGTGGATAGGAGTTAGAACTCCAGATTCACCTACTAAAAGTCAATAGATTAAGTCATCGAACCATATGTGTGCGTTGTCGCACAGCGGTAGAATTCTCACTAGCCATGCAGGTGGGCCGGTGCTCGGTCCCTGGCCGACACACTCCTTTACCTCGCTAAACCAGTAATAAGACTGGCAAAGAAGGAAGTTTGAACATGAGACTGTCTAGCAGCTCCATCCCGTGAAAATAAACTCCAATGCTACTAAAACTTCAAGCCTGTAACTTGAAGCCCTATGTTCCACTGGGAACGTAAAGGAATAAAACAAAATCGAACCACGTGTACACGTCTCGTGGATGTAAGTGGTGCTGAAATCTTTTAAAATTGAACTATGATACTTAGCTGTTATTGATCAGTAAAAAATTAGGGATAAAACTGTTGAATCGTCGTATTTCGACCAGTCAAATCTAGATCTCAGCTTCGTAGACTTTGGAAAGGCCTTCATCAGATAGCGTTGACCAAGAAGTTATTTGGAAAACACTTCAACATAATGGAGTGCAGTGCTCCGAATCTTAATCAAACTCATTCAACAGTTACATGACAATCCGAAATGTCAAGTGATCCACAAGGGAAAACTCAGAGAGGCGTTCGAAGTGAACACAGGAGTAAGACAAGGTTGTGTGCCTACTATCATGGATGATATTTCTAATTGTGGCGGACTGAATTATGCAGCAGGCTGCTTGTAGGGAGTGTGATGACAGGAATACTCTGCATCAATAAGAAGACTCTAAAAAGATCTGGGTTTTGAGGTTAATTCATATTTAATGTCATACAAACTTGAAAAATTACAGGTGAAAACCAAAAAACTGGCAGAGGAAACAGCGAAGATGAAGGGGATGAAGATAACCAGCCAACAACGGAATAAATTTGAGAGGTTTCTTCTTTCACTTATCTCAAAGGCATCGTTTCGACTACAGGCGGAACAGATGAAGATTTCAAAGACAGAATCGTAAAGGCAAGGTAACCCTTCATCACTCTGAAATCAGTCTGGAAATCTTCACTCAGCATATAGAATAGAATCTGGTTTTTTAACATCGATGTTAAGTCAGTCATTTCTTCTGTATGGGACAGAAACTTTCACTGAGGGTGACCTTAAATCCTCTACAACAGTCTCCTGAAGATTTTCATCGACAGCTGACTCCTTCTCTGGCTCCATACTGAAAATCAAATGACCTGCTGGCCAGAAAGAATTAGCAACAAGAAAGTCTGACTGGCTGGGAACAAACCAACAGATGAGAGCCGATTGCTCAACATATATATGGGAGAAAATGGAGATGGATCGGGAATGAGTTGTAGTGGCCGTTGAATGACATCATGAGCCAGATGAAAGTCCCTTGAGTGGCAAGTTTAACGTCTAAAGGGGACATAGAGAAGATCGTGTGGCGAGGAGGAGATGAGACCTTACAGGCAATCGTGGAACCTGCTAAAGAGGACCGTGGAGAACAGGACAAAGCAAAGATGTGCTGTTGAAGCTCTATGTTCCATTCGGAACCCAAGGGAATGACAATAATCGTCTCTTAAGCTGATAATTGCGGAATATATGTAATATATATTAGGTCATAGGAAAAATTAGGAAGATACCTGCAGTGAAGAAAACTGTTTTCATTTTCCATGAAGTCATCAGCTAGGCTATATGTATATCGAAGGGGTGAGAAAGTTCTAGAGCGATTTCCGACCGAATGTCAAATTACAACAAATAACAAGATTACAAACAGGGATTAAAAAGGTAATAAAAGTAAAAATTAACCGGAAAGTCGGATAGAAAACATAATCGAATGATAATCACTATTGAGAAAAGTTTGCTGTTTATAATGGCCATTGGTAAAGACAAAGGCTCAATGTACTTCTGTTGCATGCGTAGCCTTGGCTTGATTTTTTTTTGGATTACTAGTGCTTCAGCTATGCCCAGATGTCTTGATCTCACTCTCCTTGAGAGGTCTGATCGGATCTGGCATAGGGCTTCGAAGAATTTTTCAAAGGGAGTTCAGTGTCCTGAGAACATGAGATGTTCTAGCAGCTTTCATTGTTCCCTACTAGGCAACATCTTCAGCACATAGTTCAATTCGTCGAAGTGAGCTTTTAGACTTCTCCACGAGTTTATTAATCATCTCTCCTGGTGAACTGGAACGTCGTGGTTGGTTGTTTTTGTGTGTTTTTACACCCTCTAGGCTACTTGTATTGGTATTGGTGTTGATTGTTTCATTGACTTGAACTCTGACCCTTTGTGTGTGAGATTTCCTTATTATCGATTGGTAAATTTTGTCTCTGTCGGTGTGTCTATTGATTGATGATTCACTGAAATACCAGGCTTCTGAAAATTCCCTAGCATTTTTTTTGTTCCCTCTGTCTAATATTTGAACGCTGCCGCAGTCGAATTGATGTCCGTGGTTGTCTGTATATAGTGATATGAGGCAGTGGATATCATGTCGTTTGACAGCTAGCTTATGTTCGCAGATACGAAGAGGAAGGGGATGTCCACTTTGTCCAATGTAGTGTTTTTCGCAGTCATTGCAACTTATTTTGTATATGATGTTGGTTTTATCTTCTTTCTCTATTGAGTCTCCTGACTCATATAGAGCAAGCTGAGTGAAGTGATTTTGTTGGTTTGTGTGCGATGTCAATTCCTAAAGGTTTGAAGAGTATTGCAATGATTTCTGAGATAGTGTCCTTTATAAATAGTAGGGCGATTTTCTTTGTGTTTTCCTTGGGGGCTTTTGGTTTAATAGGTTGGGTTGGGGGTATATGTCTTTTGATGAAATTACCAATCAATAAGAAGGAAATCTCACACACAAAGGGTCAGAGTTCAAATCAAAGAAACAATCAGTTCCCATACAAGTAGCTAGAGGGTGTGAAAACACACAAAAACAACCAGTCACGTTCAAGGTCACCAGGAGAGATGATTAGTAAACTCGTGAAGAAATCTAAAAGCTCACTTCAGCGAATTGAACTATGTGCTGAAGATGTCGCCTAGTAGGGCGATGAAAGCTTCGCAAATTAACTGTCCAGCTCAGCAAACACAACCACATCAAAATATATACGTTTTTTTCCATATCAATGCATGTAGATAATTATGGACAGCCATTTGATGATTGGGATAATGTCGAAATTTTTTACAGAGGAAACGCCAAAAGTGCCAGAGAATTCCTAGAAGCCTGACACTCAAGATAATATGCGATTAACAAACATTAATTACTATAGACCAAATTTAGCTACTAATGAAAGGTAAATCATTACACGACAAGAAAGTTCAAAATCAAAGTCAGTAAAAAATGATCATCAATACAGATGTAAATTGACTACCACTCACGAAGATGGTTGCCAGGAGACATCACAATTCAGTCACTCATGGCGAATTTAAATCAGTTGATTTTATGCCGAAACTTGCGATGAAGATGTTGCCCATTAGGATGATGAAAGCTCCGCAGTTGAACCAACCAGCTCAGAGAACACAACTAATTGCAGACCTACGATCTCCGTTTGTGGCCGTATCATGTATCTCCTCGGAAACACTATCTAGCCTGGCTAACAAAGGAAGAACTTAGGTGTATTTATAGCTCTCTGAAAGCGTCTTTTTGTTGGCTTTTTCGTATGATCTAATGTGGATATTCAACGCCTTAATTCATACATGTTCCTTTCTGTTTTACTTTTTTTGTTTTGGTTAACCTTAGATATGAACCATTCAGAAGTTTTTAATTGGATGAAATATATTTTGGGAATTTTAATTTTTATATTTATTTGTCAAACATGTATGATACTGGTGACAAGTATGAAAAAGCTCTACATCAGGTATAAATTAAAAGATGCCTTCAGTACTTTGACTTCTGTCAATACAAGTAAGCATTAACTATTCTAAATCATTTAGAAATGAGTAAAGTATGCGTGTTTTGATGTTATTGATTGGACACTGGTCAGTAACTAGTGTAATGTGTGACCAGTCCTAGGTCAATCGCGAGCCCGAAAAGCTCAGTGATGGTAACATCTCGGACTACAGCATCTCAGGTTTGAATCTCAGAAGGGACATGAGTTCCTTCAAGGTTGCAGATACGCCTAGCTGATGAGTGCCAAGTAGCACGAAACCTAGGTCAGGCAAGGCTTCCTGCTGATTGCCTCCAACTATCTAATACCAGTATTTTTTTCCATATTAGTTTGTTTATTAGATATACCATACACAGTGAGTGAAACAGTATTATTATTCTTTACTGGATGACACAGTTTCGAACAAAATTTATTGTGGCTCATAATCATATCATCACTTATAATCACACAACTTCGAAACTTGAGTTTTATAGTTTTCTTTGTTATCTCCTATTTGTCGTCGTAGGGGTAGTGGAATTTTACAGATATCTGAGTAGATAGGCGTTGAATCACTCCTATTACACGTGTTTGCAGTTGATTCGATAAACAAAGCTTCCGTTATCAGTCTCTGCCTCCACCCTGAGACATCAGATTTTACAGCTGTCATATTATCCCACCCCTTTTTATTGTACGGTTGGGTGTAATTGCATGTAGTGAGTGGCATAGCTGAACTATTCTCTAGATTTCTAATCTTATTCGGGTCAACCGATCTAGATTTTGCTAGTGTTTGTTTAATTGGCTCTACTGGCAGGATACTTTAAGCGACAAAGCTTGTTTCTAATTGAATTTGTGGGTGGTTTGAATGCCAGCCACTTTTATTCCTGCCTGCCTTGTTAAGAATTCTGCGTAAGGTTATTTCCGAGGTTCCTTCTTTGTATGAAAGGAAGTACTACTGATGATTTAGATTCCCTATTGTTGGTTTTGTCATCATCCTGTGCATGTTTGACATGCATGTCGTCATTAATATTATTATTAATATCACTATCACTACCATTATTATTATTAATTTTATTTTTACATTTTCCTACATCAATCCTGATTAATTTTTCAGGGTAATCATTAATTAAATTTCAAAGCTTCTCTTATATGTGTCACTTCCTGTCTTAGAATTTCCTTGGTACTACTTAGTTTTGTGCTCTGTCACTTAAACATTTCACCAATCCTATTTTCTCTGACATAGGATGGTTTCATTCAAATGTCTAATCATCATTTTCACTCATGTATATAAATGAAGCAAGAATGTTATGTGAATAGTGCCTAGATATGATTACGAGCAGTAGTAATAAGTTGTGCTCGAAACGTGGTCATCAGTAAATATTACTGTATAACAGACGTATTATTTACTGGATGACGTATGGGACACAATTTATGATGCGTATTGAATCAAGCGAAGATAAGTGTAACAGAAACTGCTCAACATCTTTCCCGGTTATCTAAAAAAATTCCACTACGAATTCGCATAAAGAAAGAGAACTTTAAAAATCAAGAATATTTGCAGAAAAATATATACTACTGATTAACTGAAATGTGTAGTTGAATAACACTCGCAACAACCAGCAGTATTTTTTAGCCACGTCGAATTAATTTGAACACCAGAGATCAGTTTCTGTCGCTTAAGACATAGCTCATCAGTGGTCTGTCATATATGACCCACTTTAGAGAACAGAATCACTTCAAACAATCCGATTTCTAGACAAAAGACAAGTAGTTCAGCAAAGAGTCTCTTTTCGGCGAATTCATTTTCAAAGCTGTACAATCGCAAATATATATGGTTATTTTTTCTTTGTGTGTGTATACATTAAATTTGTCAAACAAAATACGGTTAGTAAGTTCAAATGAATTGGATGTTGATAAGAGGATAGCAACAAAAGTGATGAGTTGTCAAAAAAACGATTGTTAAAAAGGAGTAAGTTCAGGTGTATTGGATGTTCATATAAGAGTGTAGTAACAAAAGTGATGAGTTGTCATAAATTATTGTTAACTAAGAGTTACGTAATGGCATGAATAGTTTGATGAATGAGGTGTACTCAAAGGGTGCGCATGGAAACAAAATAATATACAGAATTACACAAGGGTTTTAAGTTAGAAAAATAAGCATACAAACAGAAGTAAGGTCAAATCAAACAAACAAAGAAGAGTTGGGTCAAATCAACGGAGTTGTTACCATGCGAGTAGAAGTGTTTGGATAATTTTCTTCTGTATGCATAGTTCTGGTTCCACCAACTGGATGGCTAGGGCTTCTGAGATGCAAAGAAGACGAAATCGTACTGTCTTTGGGAGGTTGTTCTTCACTTTGTAGATCACTTTGAAGGAGGCGTTCGTTGAGATGGAATGACCAGTGTTGACTAGATGTTCTGTTATTGCACTCCTTATGCAGCCATTACCTCCTTTCTGCAGCCACAATGGATAGTGTTCTTTGACCCTTTTTGACAGGATGCGCGTTGAACGACCGATGTACCTGGCTCCACAGCAACAGGTGAACTGATATATACACATAGAAGTGGTCATGTGCGGAATCTTGTCCTTTGGGTTTCTGCAGATCAGCGGGCGACTGGAGAACACTATTCTTAGTGTTGCCGCGGGGAAAGTTCTCCCTAAAGAGGTGGAAATTCTTCTTCTGAGGACGTCACTAAGTAGGTCTCCTTTGAAGTCTAGGTTCATATAAAGTATCTTTTTTGGCACGGATGGTGTCTCTTGCTTTTGGTTTTTCTGTTTGATGTTTTTGTCTACAAATCTTGGTGGGTAGCCATTTTGTATGAAGATTTCCCTCAGGAAGTTTAGTTCTTCTTCCATGGTGTCGGAGCTGCAGATGTGTCTGACGCGAGTGGCAGGGGATCTAATTAGGTTTCTTTTCCGATTTCTGGCTGGTTAAATAGACGAACTGGTAATTCAATACGTCAAATACGCAATCTGTAAATTAATTTGCAGTTCACTCAGCTATAACTTTATATATATATATATATAAACTCACCTCAGTAAATTTTACAGCTATATGTGTTGTTACTGCTTTGGTCATATGCCTGAAGTGGAATTCATGTACGAGATTTCAAATAGACCGCTCATATTAGACTAATAACGCCCATAGAATACAATACTTGAGTCTTTCATCCCATAGTATATTCCCTAAAACAAAGTTTAAATATCATGCATCACGAGAAGTTAAACTATAGCAATCACCCTTATCCATTTTAACGCTGACATTGAACAATTAATTAGCATTAAGGATCAATAAATGTCTGAAAATTGTTCTGTTTATAATTCTGGTTGTATGCTTTAATTTACCCTGAAATTCTTATCCTTCCAAAATAACAGTCATCCTGTCAAGCTTCCCATGTATATGGACATTTTCGTAACTCCAGTCAATCTGTTATTCACACATTAATCAAACATTCGATACTCCTGGAACTTGTTAAGCCAATCCAGAACAGAAAGCCTTAGTTAGTTCGAGAAAGACATATATCGAGGTGGTTGCTTTAGTTTAACTTCTCCAAATATCAAATATAAGTGCATCAATAATCACCAATCATATTTTAGTAGGTCAAGTAGTCCATGGTGGGCAAAGTTTAAAGTCTATTGTTGTTTTCTATGCACAGAGTTTGGGATACATGTGAATAATCCCGGAAAGTGCTTCCATCACCTTTAATAACCTCTGAATTAAAGTTATGTGAAACAATTGAGAAACAGTCATTCATTAATATTGATTCTGCAAACAGATATTAATAAATGCTTTGCAGTTGATGTTGCTGGAATTCTGTTCACATATCTATGTAACTTAATAGCCATATTCTTTCTAATGACAATGGAGCATTCTATTATCATTATTATTCCCTTGGGTTCCGAGTGGAACATAGGGCTTCAGCAACACATCTCCACTTTGTTCTGTTTTCTGCCGTCCTCTTCAGCTGGATAACTCCACGATTGACCAAACTCTCTTATCTCTTCCCCACACGATTTCCTGCATGTCACCGTTGCACCGACGACCCACTCGTCGCTTCCCATTGTGATTCCACTCAAGTGATGGCCTGCATTGCGTGCGATGTCATTCGACGGCCTCCTCAATGTATACCCGATTAATCTCCACTTTCTCCTACATATTTGTTGAGCGATCGGCTCTTGGTTGGTTTGTTCCCATAGTTTCTTGTTGCTTATTCTTTCTGGCCGCCATTTGATCTTCAGTATGGAGAGAAGGGGGCAGCTGTTGATGAAAGTCTGCTGTGACCTGTTGGACATCCTTTTCGTGACACACAGTGCAAGTTTCTGACCCGTATAGAAGGACCGACTTCACATTGGTTTTGAAAATCCGAATCTTGTTCCTTATGCTGAGTGTAGAAGATTTCCAAACTGGTTTCAGGTTGATGAAGGTGTATCTTGCCTTTCCAATTCTGACTTTGACATCTTCATCCATGCCATCCGCCTGTAGTTGAAACGATGCTTCCTGGCTGGATAAGTGAATGAGGCAACCTCTGTTAAATCCCTTTCTTTGATGGTGATTGGTGCTGGTTTGTTGTTGTTCTGGCGGTTCGTTGGTTAACCTCATTACCTCCGTCTTCTTTGTGTTCACCTGCAGTCCTGTTTTCACTGCCAGCTTCTTCAGCCAGTTTGTTGGCTTTCGCTTGCAAGTCTTCAAGTTTGTATGACATTCGAGCATTGGAGCATTCTATTGGTTCTACTTATATATGTGTGTCCCCACAACTTCAGGTAAACTTGTAGATACAGTATGAATTAGGAAGTCCATGCGATTTCTCCATTTTAATCGTAGGTGCAGGAATTGAAAATGTCTGAGATGTCAGGAAAAAGGATGAGGCGTAGAATGTACGTTTGATAACTGACTGAACGAAGCCTATTCATTTGAAGATATTAGATGGTTGGAGGCAATCAGCCACAGGAAGCCACACCTGACCTAGGTTTCGTACTAGTTGGCACTCATCAGCGAGGCGTATCTGCAATCACCTTGAAGGAACTCATGTACCGCGTCACCCAGTAAGTGCTGTAGTCAGGGACGTTACCACTGAGATATTCAGAATGGCCCGCGATCGACCTCCTGTAGGACTGCAGTGGATATTTTGATTGGACACCAGTAACTAGTGTAATGTGTCTAGTCCTTTCTTTGGTGCAGACTGAATTCTATCAGTCTGGTTTGTAATGTGGCCATCATTCTAGCCAACTAGTACAAAATCTAGGTCCAAGGCTTCCTGTGGCCAATTGCCTCCAACCATCTAATATCATCAAATCAATGTGTGCACCGTGATGGCGAGCTACCTAGAATAGTGGCCACATTGCAAACCTGACTGATGATAGAATTCAGTCCGCACCAAAGAAAGGACTAGACACATCACACTAGTTACTAGTGTCCAATGAAAAAAAGCCTATTAAGTTGTCAATTTCGGTGATATTATTATTGTTCCCTTGGGTTCCTAGTGGAACATAGGGCTTCAACTACACGTCTCCACTTGCTTCTGTCTTCTGCTGTATTTTTCACTTGCATCCATGTTAATCCATACTGTTTCAGTTCCTGTTCACATGATCTCCTCCATGTCACTCTTGGACGTCCCACTCGCCCCTTCCCTTTCAGCTTCCACTCGAGCGTTGGCCTGACGCGTGATGTCACCCAGCGGCCTCCTCAGCGAGTGTCCAATCCATCTCCACTTTCTCCTGCATATTTGTTGGGCGATTGGTTCTTGTTTTGTTTGTTCCCACAGTTTCTTGTTGGTGATTCTTTCCGGCCATCTGATCTTCAGTATAGAACGAAGGTGGCAGTTGTTGATAAAGGTCTGCAACAGGCTGTTGGAAATATTCTTTGTGACCCGCCAGGTTTCTGATCCGTATGGAAGAACTGACTTGACGTTTGTATTGAAAATCCGAATTTTGTTGTTGATGCAGGCTGAGTGACGAAGATTACCAGATTGGTTTCAGGTTGATGAATGTGTCTCTCGCCTTCCCAATTGTCGATTTGACATCCTCGTCCGTTCCTCCTGTAGTTGAGACAATGCTCCCTAGATCAGTGAAGTGAATGAAGTAACCTCTTTCAAATCCCTCCCGTTGATGGTGATTGGCGTTGAGTGTTGCTGCTGTTGTTGTTGGTTGGTTGGTTATTTTCATAACCTCCGTCTTGTCTATGTTCACCTGGAGTCCTGTCTTTGCTGCTTCTTCGATCAACCAGTTTGTCGGTTTTCGCTTGTAAGTCTTCCACAAAATATACCAACTAATAAAAAGTAAATCCAGGTGACCAGAAAGTTTAAAATCCAAGTCAATAGAAAATGGTCAATACATATGTAAAGATAGTTACCAGGAGACGCAATTATATCACCACTCATGAAGAAATTTAAATCATTTCACTTTACGCTGAATATTGCGCTGAAGGGGGATGTTGTCCAGAAGGACGACGAAAGCTCCGCAACCAAACCAACCAGCTGCTCAGAGAACACTACTAATTGCAAATCATCCACCTGAGCTACAAATCTTCTCTATTATTTCAAAATGTATATATAATTCAGTATTATAGTGATAGTAATAATAACAATTAGATTTCTATCATTACTTTTCATTTTTTTTAGAAAGATTTGAAAACTCAATGATTAGACGTATTCACTCAAATGACAATTGTCACACACATGAAATTGATCGAGTCAATGGTGTTATCAATGAAGGTAACAGTAGATGCGAAATAAACGTCGAGCTGAATGACAATCATCAATTTGATCCTCTTCATAATGACACCATGGATATTATTATTAAACCTCAAAAAACTAGACATTCAACAACTTGTCTAGTGATTTCTCCTTCATATTCACAGCATGATTGTCAATTGATCAGTGCATTTAACACACATCATCATCATCGCAGACTCGCATGTGCTGCATGTCATAGCGACCATGAAAACCATCGTCGTCATCACAGCATAATGATGTTCATGAATCCAGAAGGTATCCACCTCAACATACAACTTCTTCACACTTGAAACCCCAGAATGACAACAATACTATATCGAAAAGTGTTTGTGAATCCACTTTGGATACATCATACAGTCAAGTTCAAATGTCAACAGAATATTTAAAACAAAATAAGCAGAATTATCTGTTAGACAACAGTTATGGTGAAAATTATCCAAATCAAACTATACCTCACCCGATAAATTATAAAAATCATCACCCATTAAAACAACGACAATATGTTCAATGTCCAATATATTATAGTTTAAGAAATCAGAATTATAAAGATGGTTGGGTTTAAAAGTGTTCGTTTTTTTCATTACTTAGCATTCTGAGTGGGACATAAGACATCAAACTATGAAGTTTTAGTAGCTGTGATGTTGTTTTTAGGGAGTGGGATCCCTTTCCTCGCGATCAACCTTCTCTACCTTCCGAACTTTCTACCAGCTGGGAAATTCAGCGAACGGGAATAAAACTTGAACTTCCCGCATGGCTGGTGACCATTCTAGCATGGAACCATTGGTAAACAAACATTACTTTGTCTTAGAACACAGTATTCAGCAGAGTGACACCTCTCAACGAATTCATTATCAAGCAGTACAATCGCATATATACATAAACATGATCTTTTTGTACACTAAAGTATGGCTTCAGTACATGAATGACTAACGACAACGCTGTCTTGAGAAATTTGGAATGAAGAAAACGTGGTGGGTTAACATGAATTGGATAGATGATCTTAAAATCATGGTCAGGGTTGGCTGAGTGATCGAAGTTGACTGAGTGTCATCTCCTCACACCATCCCCTTATCCATTGTAAGACCATGCTAGAATTTGGCCTCGTATCCGTTAGGAAAACATTCTCTCGCTACTTCCGGTGTACACTGCTCTACAAGAGCAGGTGAACTCAAAGATGGACGTGGAGTCAACCTGACGAAGGAACTTATCTTTTACGTAAAAGTGGGACAACTGATGGCTGATTTCGAAAGACAAAGTTTTGCAGACAAATCACCTTTAAATCCCAGATTCGTGAAGATAGCTCTCTTTAGAATTGAGTCAGCGGTTAGTCTGGATTGTTTATCTTTCAGGTTTTTTATCAATAAATCGGTTAGGGCAACCGTTTTCATTACGCGTAAATTTTAGAAAAGAAAGTTTTGCATCACTACAGTCAGAGTTACGGAATATTTCTTTCTCTTTACTACCAGAGTCAATTTCTTCTCTAGTGGTAACTATTTTAGAAATCTCACACTGTAAAATATCGGTTGCTGGTGTTATTACGTAACGCTACATGAGATTAAATATTATGGTTATTAGTGTTTAGTATCAGTTGAAAAGCTTAAGAATGTTAGAAAAATTGAACCTTGAATATAAGTCATACAAAACACTCCGTATAGTTAATCAATGAATAACTCCAATAATGTATTTAAGGACAACAAATGTACCTGGATATAAGAATTAAACTTGTGCACCGTGGTAGAGTGAAACGAGTAATGATAACATAAATAAGAGAGAATATAAGTCATCTACTATTATACCATATAAGGAGAGGACATCTGAGACCCTACGTAGGATTCTTAATAAAGCTGAAATTAGGGTAGCATTTAAACCTACAGACTCACTCAGGTAGGACAAGCTCTGTAGGTTAAAGGACTCTGTCGGTGGATCCAATTAGACAAAATACCCTGCAATGACTGTGAGGTCAACTACATAGGTCACACTAGTACGTCACGGGTAGTCAGATTGTCAGAACATAAGAATTTAGCTAAAGTAAGAATGGTTGACCCCACCCGAGAAGATAAGTAATTCAGAAAAAAGCTCAGCAATTGCAATGCATGCATTAGCACACAACCACACAATAGGGTGGGAGAGGGTTAAAATTCTAAAAAGTAATCTAGGTAGGTGGAGAGAGAGGTTGATTACTGAATCCTGGTTCATTGAATCTACACCCAACACATGCAATAAGAATGATTCATCACTTATACCCGAAATATGGAAAATATTACTACCAATCAAATCAAGTGAAAAACAATGGAACTATATAAATGAATTTAGGAAGTCGTGTGATTACCTTGATATGAATATGAGCAATAAATTGTGCTCGAAATGTCATCAGTAAACATTACTGTATAACACTGTGAGACTTTATCAAAATAAAATTTACCCATAATGAGCACAGATGTGTAAGTGTTGATTGTTCTTAAAACAGACCTCAACTAACCACACTTACTGAAGACTTCTCCTCTTAATACCCTTATCAGTACTCTACCTAGCGTGTAAGTACCGATTAACGAACTCAAAGTAGAAAGGCTTGAAACCGGGTAGCGTGTTCTGATGAAAGTTATATTTACACAGATTGAATATCAATTCTAATAAATAAGAATGTTGTACAACTTATCTGGTCCCTCGGCTGGGTAGTAGTCTCAAAGAGTGCGCTGAATGGTAGCACAAAAAGGCAGAGAACCACGTCTGTACAATCATGTTAGAAATCACAAGATGGAGTGGTGCCATAGTGCATGAATGCGTTAAAACAGAAGTTCAAACATTCAAGGTGCACTAAAGATTATCTTTACCACTTAGAAGGTTGGCGGGATACCGGCAACCTTCGATACACGAAAACAGGGACTTGAGAGTAGAGGTTTGTACAGTAGCACTCAATGAACAAGGAAGATTGAAGAGAGTAATAAAGAATTGTGACAGGAAAGAAAAAGGTTAGGCTAAATGAGAGGCACTATATGTACATGGTTGGTAGAGTAAGGCGAAATATCAGAAGAAATGATGCTGGTGCCATAGTGCATGAATGCGTTAAAACAAAAGTTCAAACATTCAAGGTACACTACAGATACATGACTCTGTGTACCCCTTATTGATTACTACATTTAGTTGTATATCACTCACATCAACCAACAGTAGTTGCTAGCCAGATCAAAAGTGATCTAAACGCTATACAGCCATTTCGCTCGCCTGAGACTGAGCTCATCAGCAGTGTATCAGGTTTGAATCAGGTGAGACAGGCGAATCAGTTGAAACCACCCAAATTCTAGCTAGGCACTTGGGCGAATTTCTCATACATTTTCACGATTTATTTACTCTATGATATCAGTTGGTTGGCGGTGGCTAGCAGTGAAATCGAGGACTCAAGTCTCATCCTATCTAGAGTTCATCAGTTTGATGTAACTGTGTCATCAGTGAGTGATGGTGTTATCACTGAGATTTAAACTCAGCACCCATCGTTTCAGACATCAAATAATTATCTAATAATCCTCCAAGTTTTCAGTACCAGACCTTTTTTGACTTGGAAGTAATTTAACGATGGCTACTGTGGGAAAATATCATTTATCCATACCAAAGGTAAGGCTTAGAATCATTCTATTTCAGAATGCTGTTTGTAAGACAATCACAAATATTGGCGACAATCTTACTAATCTCTGGCCTGCATTGATTCGACAATTTCTCAGTTTGAACTTATTACGTAAATATGGTTATTATGACTGTTAATTACTCCAAACTTGCAGCTGAGGACAGTGAACCTTTGTCCTCTTTTATCATGAATTATGGGCAACTAATTTATGAAACTCTATGAGAATTAGAGATTTAGCATATGATTTTGCCGAACATAGGCTGGAAATTATTTGAGAACATGTTGATTGAATACATGAAAAGCAGTCTAGAAGAAGATGCAATGAAATGTATGTGTATGGATCCGACCCATAAATGAACGTTTCAGATGTTTCGCTTAACGTTCTACGTTAGGAAGTTTAGGCAGTCTGGTATAAAGCAGTCTTTGCTTTCTCAGTTTGTCAATTCCTGTATTCTACCCATCCCTCTTTACTGCTCCCCATTCATCTTTCCTGGACTACTTAAGAAAGACTTTGCTTCGCTGCGTAGGGCACTAAAAGCTGTTAGTAGGGCAAGAGGGATTTCGTTAAACCAACTGGTTAACACAATTGTGGATAGACATATGATGTCATGTAAGAAACTAGCGAATTCTATATTGTCAGACCCCGAACACCCTCTCCATACGCAGCTCTCTCCTTGCATTTCATCTGGTAGAACTAGAAGCAACTATAGGAGGCTATATGTTAGGACTACCAAGTACAAAAACTCCACAATACCTTATCTGGCACAGCTGTTATGTGATGAGAAAACTGTTAGGCATGACACGATCAACTTACTGCGGCACTCTAACAAATAGTTCCCATTAGCTTTTGTTCTCCTTTCTGTGTTACTAATATATTGTTGCTCATATATTCTATTACAGACTAATTTTATATATCATATCCTGTGGTGCATTGTTTAAATATGTGAATGCAATGCTGTTCTTTTTTATTTCTTTTATTTCTCTTTTTCTTTTTGTTGTTGTTGCTTTATATTTTTAAATCCTTATAAAATTTATGAGGTAATTAGATGCAATATTGTAATGCACGCTGAAAATTCCATACCTGTACCACAAATACTGTTTGGAATAAAGCCATTATTATTATTATTAGCGGAGAACAGATAATAAACTAGAATAAACAAAATTTAATCACCCAAAAAATGGAATATATATTTCAGGTTCATTATCATTGAGCTATAATGTTTGCTTAACCTAGAGTAGTGAAGTAAAAACCTAGCGCGATACGTCAGTGTGCAAGAGTCCTTTACTGCGTACCATCATACTAACCAGTTGACATTAAAGGTGAATGTCAGTACCCATTACTATCTGATGAAGCTTCGGGTTAATAGCTTTTGTGGATTACATATTACTACAGCTCTACCAGACTGAAGCATCGGTTCTATGAGCGGTGCTGAGTTAAACGCGGTGAGGAATTACAACTATCCTTTTTCTAATCGTCTCTAATCTTACACACCAATGAACATCACTTTTCTGTTGGCTTAACTCAATGTCTTTGCGTGCCTGTTATTGTTATGATATTATTCTTGTTCTTTCTTTCCTTCTTCCACGGTATTCTAGGTTGCTTTTAATATTTCCGAATTATTACCTGGTTACCTCCAAAGCCTCAGGATGGTCGGGGGTGGGTGCCTTGCGCTGCGGGTTGGTCACCCCTCCGCACACCTCTTGAAATGCTCCCATATGACCGGGCGTCTTACATAGCCTCTCCTGAGGAAGTCCTACTCACTGCCTTCACGTGGCGGAGGTGTTTTTTTTCACCAAAGTGAGAGGGTGAAAGCGGATGCCCGGCGCTCTTCACCGGGTTGACTGTCCATTGGATGACAGTCTATGGGAGATGGCTAAACCCTGATTCCAAACCTCCAACGACTGGCGTATGAAACTCACTGGCAGACGTATGGACAAAGGGCTTGTTGGATGTCCTGGATGTCTGGCCCCATTCAAAAAGGCGTATGAACCGAACTACGGTCACCGGCTGCCAATGGATAGTGAACTCCCTACTCCACTCCTACCACCTTGTAGGTCACACTTGGTTGTGTAAAGGCTAGAGCTGCACTCTCAAACAAAAGGCCGAGCGATTCTGGGGACATCACTCGTACCAAATTCCCATGAAACTTCATGAAATCTCTTAATTGGATAACCCTGTCACAAAACGTTGCATCAGATCGCCGCTCCTGGGCAGCGATGATTCGAGATGTTCATGAAGCCGGTTCATCCTCCCGTAGGAGATAGCCGAAGTAAAGTAAAGTAAGTAAGTACGCGAAGACAGTCGATTCCAGATTATTAATGAACTAGGTAACACAAAACACAAAAATATCCAAACAGAACGCAATGGTGGGTTATTTATAGAAGTCCTATTAGCCAAGCTGACGACTTCATACTTAATCACCTCAGGACGTGGTGTAGTACATATAGGTGTCTAATAGTAGGTGACTTTAATGCCCCCCACACATTAATTGGGAGTGGTCGCGCTATGTCGTGCATTTATTTATCAGATAGGTGATTTTTAGCAGATGAGTCCCAGGTTCGAATCCGAATACTGACTAAGTGAGCTTCAGGGTTGAATTTATCACAGAAGCTCAGAAGTCTAGGATGTAGCACATAAAGGTAGGGAAAAATAAACTCAAAACAACTACAATGATGAGCAGAAATTTACAAAGAAATAAAAGTGACAAGTAAAAACATCAGGAATTAATCAGTCCAGGAGATTACAAAGAGTGAATATATCTCTCCATCACTGAGAACGATTTATAGCCATATCACCAATAGTGTCAAGCCATTGGTTCTTAACATTCTTAAAAACCTTAACGAGACAGTCTACAACTTCCAAGCTCAAATGAACACATATGCCAGTTTACGCCGTCTCCGGTGTAGACGTGATACCCGGCTATCGACCAAAGGACGTATGTACTGCTGAGCAGTCCCTCCCCCGTCCTCCTTTATGGCTGTGAGACCTGGCCATTGAGAGTGGAAAACATGAAAAGGTTGGCTAGCTGTCTTTGATCATAGGTGCCTGAGTTCTATTCCCGTGTAAAGTGGTATATTAGGGAAGACATATTGAGAAATAATAGAGAAGATTTGTAGCTCAGGTGGATGATTTGCAATCAGTAGTAGTGTTCTCTGAGCTGGTTGGTTTAGTTGCAGAGCTTTCGTCGTCCCCCTTCTGGACTACATCCTCTTTCAGCGGAATATTTAGCACAAAGTGAAATGATTTAAATTTCTTCATGCGTGATGTAATTGCGTCTCCTGGTTACTATCTTCACATATGTATTGGCCACTTTCTATTGACTTGGATTTTGAACTTTTTGGTCAAAAAGAATGGTTATCCACAAAATTTCATCAAAAAGTGTTTAAAGTCGAATCAAAACACCAACAAGAAACCATCATCAAAGACCACAAGAAAATTCATTCTACCATACATGAGGAATATCTCTGAAATAACAGCCAGAATACTGAAACCGTTAGATATAGATATAGCACACAAACCAGTAAAATCGCTTAATTCGATATTATGCAAACCGAAAGATCCAACAGAAAAAGGACGTAAAATTATTACCATTTACAAAATAAATTGCGTTTATGAACTGTAACAAGCATTACATCGGCCAAAGTGGGCGTCCCCTTCGAATTAGAATCCACGAACACAACTCAGCCGTGAAAAGACACGATATATATTCTTTAGTATCAATGCATATAGACAATTATGGACATCAATTTGATGATTGGGATAATGTCAAAATCTTAGACAGAGGAAACACCAAAAGTGCTAGAGAATTCCTAGAAGCCTGGTACTCAAGCGAAAATGCGATTAACAAACACTTTAATATAGATGAAATATACCAATTAATAAAAAGTAAATCAGGTGACCAGAAAGTTTAAAATCCAAGTCAATAGAAAGTGGTCAATACATATGTGAATATAGTAACCAGGAGACGCAATTACTTCACGCATGAAGAAATTTAAATCATTTCACTTTGTGCTAAATATGGCGCTGAAGATGTTGTCCGGAAGGACGACGAAAGCTTCGCGACTAAACCAACCAGCTCAGAGAACACTTTTAATTGCAAGGCATATTGAGGTTAGACGTCGAGTGCTAGTTAGGTGGGAGGGGAAATCAATCGCTGAGGTTGTGAAGTTACACCGATTAAGATGGTTAGGACATGTGTTACTTATGCCTAGCCATCGCCTTCCTCGACGGGAAATGTTAGCTAACTGACATAGGATCAGGCTGGAAAAGAGCTAGTGGTGGTCAAACCAAAACATGACTTCATCAGTCAATGAAATCCACAACAGTTAGTTTAAGCCAGCTACGTAGGAAGGTGTAGGCTTCCTGGTTGGGGTCCTCGGAATGGCGAAAACCAATGGCAGCTGGAGACAATTGGTGATATGGCTCAAAGTGATCGTTCTCAATGGCTGGCTTGGCGCAGATGCATCCATTTCTTGTGACTTATAATATCCAATAAAACTACACTGTTCTTCGATATTACTATTTCTTTGTCTCATATCTCTGTTTACTGTCTCTTTTTTGCATTTCTTTTTACTTTCTTCTCTGGCTTTGTGTGCTAAATGAAGTATGGTGACTCGAACTGCCGCACATCGGTGTAAAGTTCTGTGTTGAAAACAGACAGACAAACAGACATACCCTAGTTATATCAATCGATCCAGCTTCACAATCACATCGATTGACTTGACCTTCTCACCAAAACACTCTACACCTAACCTAAATATTATTCACCGCATTTATGCCTCTTAACACGCGGGATAGAACGCAACCATTTATAATCAAAGACACCTAGCCACTTTCAATGACCACATCTCACAGTACATACATCCTTACATCAACAGCCACACATCATGCCTACGCTAGAGATGATGTAAGTTGACATCTAATGATCCTACTGGAATTAAAGTCAGGACCTTTAGATTACGCAAGAAGCTCTTTGTTGACCATCCCACTACAAGGAGAAACAGAATTCAATGCTAGGGTTCATTTATTTCTAACTTAAATTGTGGTGAGAGCTGTCTGAAAGCCGAAATTGTAGACACCACAATTGACGTCAATGTTTACGTCCCGAATCGGGGTCATGAGAAAAAGCACAACAACAAAGCTTAACCTTGAGGAACACAACACAACAACCAATCACAGCACACTTAGCGTGTACAAATACGATTCGCAGATATATGGCCTAACTTTCTAAGAAACGGTCACAAGCAGTACAGAATAACTTTGAGCAAGAAAACAACCAATCAGAAGAGGTTGCTTCTCCGCTGACAATAATGTACATAAAAATCTATAAATATCTGTTGATTTTCTCAATAAACGATCTGTTGCCTGGCCCTTGTCTTCTGTCGTTACAATATGACAATCCGTAATGAAACTTCAAGCCAATAAATAGAAATAATAAAGAAGGCATGTTTACTTATATTTTTATTTATTTATTCAAGATATTGCCCTATAAAGAATTTACATTAGAAAAAATAGAATTTATGGTAGACCATAATACCACCATGACGGTGATTTCGATTTACTCCATATTGAATCTACACGTGAATCAATATCTGGTTCTTTAGATTCACCATCTACACTACTAGTACTACTACTATTTTCTTCGATTTCAGTAGTTTCTTTGTCTCCTTCTCCTTCTTTTTCTTCTTGTTCCATTTTTTGCTTTTGTCTTTCTAAATATTTCATCATTGCGATACGCGATCTATACGCCATCAGGTAAGATCTTGGATGAACTGGTAGAAATCCACAAAGGCCTAATAGTTCTGCAACACGTTCAGTTGGTTCAGCACCCATACCTATCCAATAAGCGATACGTTCAAAATTCAATGCAATCAACTGTTCCCCATGGATATTAGGAAATGGATCCCATGAACCAACTTGTTCAATGCCAAGCTTTTTGGATTCAGCAAGATTTGATTTAATCTACAATATGCATATAGAGAAGAAATAAAACTTCATATATTAAAAAAGAAAGAACCAGTAACAGCTGTTTCGTCCGAGATTGGAACTCTTCAGAATAAAACCAATAATCTTATTTTATCAATCTCCAGCTCATTGATGACTACTGGATGGACGTCTTGATTGAGATGTTGTGGCCGCCATGAGATCCACCATGGCAAGGTGTAGTCGATGTTTACCGAGAATTGGCAAAATAAGAATTCACAACGTCATTGAATTGCAGGTCAATTGGCATAACGGTCAGCAGAGGTTGGTCTTGTAACCTGAAGCTTCCGGTAATGTCGTCGGTGCGTACTTCTGAAAAGTCCCCCCACCTATGATGAAACAGCTAAGTTTTTAGTGCTCAAGGATTTTCAGTGATTCTTTAACTCACCGAGTCATTAAGAAAAGACAATTCAGAGAAGAAAATTTTCCTTGTCTGATTGGATGGAGGATTTCATCATGAGCTGACATCAGTTCTAGTGGGAAGCCGTGACCAGTAGGGTACAGCAGATTGAAGATGAGGCAGTAACTCATCGAAGGAGACAGTGCGAAATGGTTTTCGCTGTGTCGTGAATTGGCAGAAGTTAGAATTCATGGACTGGCCATTGGATCGGGTCCCGCTGGCTCAATGGTCTACGAGCTAGCTCGCCTTGTAACCAGAAGGCCCTGGGTTCAAAATCTGGCGGTGGGTGCGTACTGATGAAGAGTCCCAAACTAGGCTGACGAAACAGCTGGCTGCCCAGTACTCCCAGGTTTTCCAGTGGTTCTCCAACCAACCGATGTCAGGTCATGATGAAATCCTCCATCCAAGCATACTATACGTGCTCTCGGTAAATATAAATACGACTGAAGGAAGATGATTTCGTCGATAAAGAAAATTTTCCTCACTGGATTCTCTAACTGACGTGTGAGTTTGTGACGAGATCTACATTGAAATTAAAGAACTAGTTTGAATTGCTTTTCGTATTAGAGTAATACAGTCAACTTAGTTTGTACAACACCGTTCGCCGTCAACTGAACAGCAGCGTGGAATAAGGATTGTACTATATACATACATGGTCACTACAAGCCATAACGGAGAAAATTTCTGCATAGGGACACTTCCTGACTGGTTGTGGTCCTGATTCCTAGCTGTAATCTAACCGTTAAACTTACTTAATCCTAGACATTAAAACTAGATAAATTAGGTTGGAGGAAAGCTTCTGATTTCGATTTGGTTGTGTTCTCTGAGCTGACTGATTTAATCGTGAAGCTTTCGTTGTCCTTGTAGACAGCATCTTCATTCAGAATAAGCTTCAATATGAAATCAATAAAAAAAGGATCAATACTGGGCCAAGTTCAACAATAGCATCCCAGGAGTGTGAACGTTCTAATGACCTTGAACTTACTTTACTTCGGCTATCTCCTACGGGAAGATGAGCCGGCCTCATGAACATCTCTTAAGAGAGTTCATGAAGTTTCATGGGAATTTGGTACGAGTGATGTCCCCAGAATCGCTCGGCCTTTTGTTTGAGAGTGCAGCTCTAGCCTTTACACAACCAAGTGTGACCTACAAGGTGGTAGGAGTGGAGTAGGGAGTCCACTATCCATTGGTAGCCGGTGACCGGAGTTCGGTTCATACGCCTTTTTGAATGGGGTCAGACATCCAGGACATCCAACAAGCCCTTTGTCCATACGTCTGCCGGTGAGATCCAGTGAGCTTCATATGCCAGTCGTTGGAGGTTTGGAATCAGGGTTTAGCCATCTCCCCTAGACTGTCATCCAATGGACAGTCAACCCGGTGAAGAGCGCCGGGCATCCGCTTTCGCCCTCTCACTTTGGTGAAAAACACCTCCGCCACGTGAAGGCAGTGAGTAGGACTTCCTCAGGAGAGGCATTGTAAGACGCCCGGTCATATGAGAGCATTTCAAGAGGTGTGCGGAGGGGTAGCCAACCCGCAGCGCAAGGCACCCACCTCCGACCATCGTGAGGCTTTGGAGGAAAATGCTTGACACCATATAGAATTAAGCTTATCACACACTGTGTGCTTTGAAATTTCACCTCCTGGAACTGTGTAAAGCGCGAATTTGATTCATGGTATTACAATGCAGAAAAAAAAAGTGTCTGGTTCTTAGAGCCAGGTTAATCTGTTCAGACGACTGCCTCAATGAGGAGCTTAAGATTATTAGAGAATTACTTAGAAAAAACATGGTTATCCAGATAAATTCATTGAGAAAAATATGAATTCAGCACCAAGGAGAGTCAGTATAGCAACAGTTCCGAAAAAACCAATGTTCATAAAACTGCACTTCCTCGGTGACAACATCAGCGAAATAATAACACAGCGCCTGAAGAATGCAGTTAAAAGAGCTTATTATGCAGCAGAGGTACGTTGTCTCTTCACAACCACCCCTATTCTACGTTCGAGAAATAAGGATAAACTACCTAAATTTGCCTCTTCTATGTGTATCTACCAGTTTGACTACAGCTGCGGAGCCAGCTACATTGGGCGTACAATTAGGCAGGTTCATCGTCGTATTTCCGAACATCATCCAACATGGTTAAGCAAGGGACAAACAATATCTATTCGTAGCTCTATTTTAGCACACCTTATATATAGTGAGCATAAGATTGACGTTAATACTGCATTTAAAATTATTTATCGCATTCCTACTAATCTCTTAATTTGCTCTACGAGTTCATCTTCTACAGACAGCTGAAGCAATAGGAATCCACCTGAAGAAGCCAAACCTGTGTGTTCAGAAGAAATTTGTGCAGCCACTTTCCTTGATTTGGCCATCGTTACATCAATGTGTAAACCGGACTACTTCGCCCCCCTCCCCACCTTTAAAATTGTAAAAATTATAATTGTCCAAATTATTTTATTTTTATTTATTTTGACCACTTCATCTTTAATTAATTTATTCTAACCATTTCTACCTTTTAAATGTGTACTGATTTTCTTCGTTAATTATCAACCCAAGTGATTCAGCGAAGAGACTCTTTTCAACGAATTTATCATCAAGCTGTACAATCGTTTGTATATGGTTTTTAAGAAGTTATATCCGGTGAGGGAATTGAAACATAGGTGTGAATGCATAAAATAATAATAATAGTATGAAATGCAATTAAAACTAAAATGTTTGTGATTATAATCGTAGTTAAATGTCAAGTGGCAAAGCAAATTAATGTCATATATAGAATAATTCATAGGATGGATAGAACTTGAAAAAGGTGTGCAATTATAAGATTGAAATAAAAACGTTACGTAATATTGTGTAAAATTTAATAGTATAGAATTTAATGTTGCATAAAGGAATTGATTTAGAATGACAAGTGGAACAAGCGAAATAATACCGGGGACAATTAAAAGTGAGAGTAGTAATAGTAACAATTGACTTAATAAGGAAGAGTATACAAATTGAATAGACAAAAATGAAAAAATGAAGAATTGGTGGAGCTAAAATATGATTGGGGATTACCATACTTTAGCATAGAGGGATTAAGACCATGAACGTTGGAGGGGTTGAACGAACTTTTTCTGTACACAGAGATCTGGCTTTTCTGTAAATGACTTGTAAGTGACTTTGAAGGCGGAGGCTATAGAGATAGGGTGATCATTATCGACCAGATGTTCAATGATCGCGCTTCTTATTGCTCCACTACCACCTTTTCGTAACCATGCAGGATAGTGTTCTTGCACCCTCTTGGACAAAACTCGTGTCGAACGACCGATATACCTAGCTCCACACGAGCGGGTGAATTGATAAACACATGCATTCACACCTATGTTTCAATTCCCTCACCGGATGTAACTTCTTAAAAACCATATATATACGATTGTACAGCTTGATGATAAATTCGTTGAAAAGAGTCTCTTCGCTGAATCACTTGTTTTGATTTTCTATAAATTATCAACCCATTGACATTTTGACACTGTTTAATCATTGTTAACAAACATATCAGTGCCACTTGATTGGTAAACTGTTGTGTATTGTAATAAAAATGCTATATGTGTATATTAGAGTAGAGCCAGAGTAAGATGAGGATCTAATTGAAAAGTAAATATTTCTTCTCTGCTCAATCTTTCTGTTTTCTAAATGTCTAAATGGGGATTTTTCTATATTCGTTTTGCCTCACTCACATTTCTGTTTATTATTCTTTCTCCCTCTTCACTCTCTTCTCTTGCTTTGTGTGTTAAATGGAGTGGAGTGTGGCAACTCATAGTGCTACACATTTGTGCAAAATTCTACGTTGAAACCAGTCAGTCAGTCAGTCAGCAGTCTACACCTTTCTACTTGGTATAGAACAGCAGTCAAAGACTCTATAGACTGATGTTAGATAACATTGCTCGGTGAGAAAAGCGACAGTTCGGCATACACAACACATATCATAGCCATCTTAATCGATCCTATGCAGCTTTATAAATCCTTCTCCATTAACTTGCCTTTCCTTAACTTAACACCTCAATATTATTACTAACCATATTATATTAACGCCGAGGACGCTCGCCGACCATGCCTGTGGTTCGGGGTTCGATCCCCGGCCGTCGCACTCCTTTACCTCGATAAGCCAGAAATAATGCTGTTGAGGAGGAAAGGTTGGGCATGAGGCTACAACCCATCTGTCCTCCACTGGCTAAATATTATATTAACGCAGAAAAATAAAATCTCACTTGTATAGTATAGAAAGGTCGATTGGTACATCCTTCTCTAACAAGTGCTATGCGTGGTTTATGCCGAAAACGTATTGGATAAAATTTCACTACACGACGTCCAGGTGCTAATGGTTGATGTGGCCACCATGTACTAGGCTTTTTAGGACCAGGTAAAAATCTTTTATTGTCTGAAGATGTTGGTGATGATGACGATGATGTTGATGACGACGAAGTTTCAGTCGACTGATATACACAAGGTTGTGCCCCATTGAATGCAACACATGCAGGAGGCAGTGAGATCTGTACACATTTTGAATTCAAATTAGTGAGTAGAGAAATTCTGAAAGGGCAAAACAAAGTGTCAAATAGGATTGATATTAACGATTTCTTAAGAGAAAATAGTCATAAACAATAGAGTTATCGATAACTGTGATAAAGTACAATTCAGTAAACGACCCATGTAGCGCCAATGAGGCTGCACAGACTTCGGTCATTCTCTCGAAACGCTGTGTACTGCTCAACAGTCCGATCCGTCCTCCTTTATGGCTGTGAGACATGGCCATTGAGAGCACAAGACATGAAAAGACTATCTGTGTTCGATCATAGGTGTCTGCGTTCTGTCTCCCGTGTGAAGTGGTATAATAAGGTGAGCAATATTAAGGTTAGGCGTCGAGTGCTAGGTAAGGCGGGGAAATCAATCGACGAAACTGTGAAATTACTTCGACTGAGATGGTTAGGACATGTGCTACGTATGCCTAGTCATCGCCTTCCTCGACAACAGGCAATGTTAGCTGATATAGGGTCAGGCTGGAAAAGAGCTAGCGGCGGTCAAACGAAAACATGGCACCAATCAATGAAATCCACAACAGTTAATCTAAGCCACGTAGGATGATGTAGACTTCCTGGTTGGGGTCCTCGGGACGGTAAAAACCAATGGTTGGAAACAATTGGTGACATGGCTCAAAATCGTTCTCAGTGGCGCAGATGCATCCACTCTTTGTGACTTATGATTTCCGATGAAACTGTTTTGTTCTCCGTTATTACTATTCCTTTGTCTCACACCTCTGTTTACTGTCTCTATTTGGCATTTCTTCTACTTTCTTCTCTTGCTTTGTGTGCTACATGGAGTGGAGTGTGGGGACTTGAACTGCCGCACATATGTGCAAAGTTCTATGTCGAAAACCGACCGACCGACCAACCTCGAAACGCTGTCATGTGGCCACGTGTTTATAGGCCCTGGCCAAGTAAGCCCTATTGACACTACTTTAAGGCGGTGGGGGGAGGGTACTCCTAACAAAAAAAAGTGGAAGGATGAATGCCATGAACGTCTGATGCTTACAACCCAAGTGGTGGACATACAGGTCTACCAAAGGGAAGTGGAAAACGCTGATTTCAAGCCTATGGTGTAAAATCTGAGGGATCGAATGGCATGTGAACCTGGTTTGGTCACTGGAAAGCATAGAGATGTAGCTTTTAACGCTGCTCCACGGTCATGTATGGATCACAATTCAAGCAAAAGGTTGTTCGAGGGGTGGCCACTTGAGACAACCACCTGATTCGGTCTGGGCATCCGGGCAGCATCCCAGCCCTCGTACGAACTATGAGATTTTGTGTGGCGCATCTTTTGGTGGAAAGTGGAGATGGATTGGACACTCACTCGCTGAGGAGGCCATTCGCTGGGTGACATCGCGCGTCAGGCCATCGCTCGAGTGGAACCCGAAAGGGAAGCGGCGAGTGGGACGTCAGTGCAAGGGTGATATGGAGGAGATCGTGTGAAGAGGAATTGAAACAGTATGGATTAACATGGACGCAAGTGACAAGTACAGCAGAAGACAGAAGCGAGTGGAGACGTGTAGTTGAAGCCCTATGTTCCACTAGGAACCCAAGGGAACAATAATAATAATAATCTTTTGGTGCCCATAATGTACCAAGTTTGTTTTAATAAATAAAGTAAAACAGTAATAGTAACATTGACGATAATAATACTAAAAATAACAATAATCTAAACGAGCTCAACTCAGTGCTACTCATCAAACACTTACAGAATTCCATGCAGGGCTGGTTATACTGCTTGTGGCTGCCTAAACCTCGGTGAGCGGAATGTGGGCATCCGAACCGGTGAACCACCCCCCACCCCTACCCCGTAGTTAAAGTCGACGCCTAGACCAATGAGCTGTAGCTCTGATTCCATTAGAGAGTATGTTCGACATTGGATGTCATTCAACGATCTCATAAGTGTACGTCCAATTCGTCTGCATTTCTTTCTCAATATAGATTATTTTAATGGCATAAAGGTGTTTATAAACAACTTGATAAATCCGATTATAATAATAATAATACAGTATTTATAGGAACGAACCAATCAAGAACCTATTCCCCAACAAATATGGAGAAGAAAATGGAGATGGATTGCACACACTCTGAGAAGACAGTTAGGTGATATCGTGCGTTAGGCCCTCTCGAGTGGAACCTGAATGGGGGGGCTAAGGAGCTGGGCGTTGGTTGTGGCCTAATTCACAATAAGTGATATCTACGCATCAAGTAAAATGCAAAAGAAAGGGTTTAAATTAAACAGAAGATAGCAAAACACCATAAGATAATGATAATGTGAATTTCACGCCCAGTTATTCACAATTCCCTACACAGCTTACATCATTGGGCTTGACTTCCAATGGCCTGACTTCTAGTCCCAAAAGTCGTAGGTCCGAATCCTGCCCCCACCAATTTCAGCCGAGATAGTATCATCTGTTCTGACAGAATAAGTATAACTTATATGCCATTCACCCACATTCATTCAGGCTGTGACCGGATAAGTAGGTGATCAGTTGAATTGTGCTGTTCATTTTTTTTCAACTGCCTTCCTTATGAGTTAACTGCTAATCTTTGTCAGTTAATTCCAAATGATGGACTTAGGGACTCCGATTCTGCTTGAATTTATTTGATCTGGGGGATAGAGTAGTATCACAGATTCATAGCCTCATGCATATATATATATATATATATATATATATATATATACAGGATAATTGAAGGACAGACACGTAATCTTTGGCTTTAACCTCACCCCCTTTGATATTGAGTAATTTTGCTTGTCTCTTGTTTCTATGATTTGAGTTGAACTCAGTACATTGTTACCTAATTTATTAGTCACTCTGCATCTTACGCATCTCTCGTCTGTATTGAGTAACTCCTTTACCATTGTATGCATACATTTACTTTGTTTAAATTTGAACTGCCTGTGTAAAAACTACATAAGCGTAATTTTCTGAGCATTGTTCACTTCGGAACTTCCTGTCAATTGATATCATGTAAAGTTTACAATATGTTAAAACTTTTCTGTCCATAAACTTAATAATTTATTTAGGCTGTAAGCAGCTGAGCTGATGAGAAGCCAACGAACGAAATAAACAATGATGGTACCATCTTCTTATTCTGCACTTTATTCTATTATTATTATTATTTCCTTTAATTCCTAGAGGAACACAGGGCTTCAGCTGCACGTCTCCATTGCGTTCGGTTCTCTGCTAAAGTTTTCACCTGGCTCCTCGTCTGCCCACATGCTTTCATCTCCTTTTCACATGACCTCCTCCAAGTCACCCTCGCACTGACGACCAACTCGGCTTTCATGTTAGAAGCCGATATTCCGACACTCAATGATCATTTTACTCTTGACTGACTGAGTTTCCAACACAACGATGTATAAAAGTTGACATACTGTATCCATTGAGAGCAGAAGACATGAAGAGATTATCTGTGTTCGATCAAAGGTGTCTGCGTTCTATCTCCCGTGTGAAGTGGTATAATAGAGTGAGCAATATTGAGGTTAGGCGTCGAGTGCTAGGTAAGGAGGGGAAATCAATCGACGAGGCTGTGAAGCTACATCGACTGAGATGGTTAGGACATGTGTTACGTATACCTAGTCATCGCCTTCCTCAACGGGCAATGTTAGCTGATATAGGGCCAGGCTGGAAAAGAGCTAGCGGCGGTCAAATGAAAACATGGCACCAGTCAATGAAATCCACAACAGTTAGTCTAAGCCACGTAGAAAGGTGTAGACTTCCTGACTGGTTGGGGTCCTCAGGACGGTAAAAACCAATGGTTGGAAACAATTGGTGACATGGCTCAAAATCGTTCTCAATGGCCGACGAAGATGCATCCACTCCTTGTGACTTATGATTTCCAATGAAACTGTTTTGTTCTCCGTTATTACTATTCCTTTGTCTCACACCTCTGTTTACTGACTATATTATGCATTTCTTCTACTTTCTTCTCTTGCTTTGTGTGCTACATGGAAGGAGTGTGGCGACTTGAACTGCCGCACATATGTGCAAAGTTCTATATCGAAAACCGACCGACCGACCTGACATACTGTTTATAGTACACAAATGTGTGGGAAATAGAATCAAGGGAACTATAATGAACGGAAGTGTACAGGATAGAGAGAAAAAATAGGGATATGAACAATGCGCGTGTACCATTGTGAACGATTTTGAGCCATGTCACCAACAGTTTCAAGACATTAGCTATTAGTGTCTTGAGGACCTCAGACAGGCATTTTACACCTACTGCTTCACTACTACGGGGTGCCGCCGACAATAATACATCTCATCCAACAGCTGTACGACAATGCTGCATGCCAAGTAATCCACAACGGGAAACTTACGGAACCCTTCGAAGTGAGGACAGGAGTAAGACAAGCTGGCTGCCTACTATCGCCAATGATTTTCCTGATTGCAGTAGACTGGATAATGCGACAGACACCGGGCAATGAGGAAACAGGCATAAAATGGACTCACACAAAAAACTTGGAGGATCTGGACTTCGCCGATGATATGTGTCTGATTTCCCACAAACTGGAAGATATGCAAGCGAAAAGCAACAAGTTGGCAGAAGAAGCAGCGAAGATAGGACGTCAGGTGAACATAGAGAAGACAGAGGTGATGAATATTCCTGGGTAACACCAACAGCAACAACAACAACAGACAACAATCAGCATAAATGGGAGGAACCTGAAAGAAACTACCTCTTTCACCTACCTACCTGGGAAGCATCGTTTCAACTACAGGCGGAACTGATGAGGATATCAAAGCAAGAATCGGAAAAGAAAGAGAAGCTTTCACTACTCTCAAGTCTGTGTGGAGGTCAACAACACTCAGCATCAAAACGAAGATAAGATCCGGATTTTCAACTCCAATGTGAAGTCAGTGCTACTTACTATACGGATCAGAAACTTGCACCGCGCGTCATAAAGAGCATCTCAAACAAACTACACACCTTCATTAACAGTTGTCTTCGCTCAATACTCAAGATCAGATGGCCGGCCAGAAAAGATCAGCAACA